ACTCTACTCTACTTCTACTTCTACTTCTACTTCAACTTCCTACTCGAGTAATAAAAAAAATAATATAATATAAACCCCTACCCTACCCTACCCTACCCTTCCCTACCCCTCCCTACCTATCCTACCCTTCCTTCCCTACCAATCTCTACACCAAACTACACCAAATCTCCATCTCCATCTCCATCTCCAACTCAATTCAAACCAAACCAAACCAACCGCAATACCAGTACAACATATATATATAATTCTTCCTATCCTACCTACCTACCTACCCTACCTATCCTATCCATCCTATCCAATCCTATCCAATCTCATTAGTATATTTTCGAGTATCTACTTGAGTATCTACTACGTACTCAAACCTTCCCTGTTCAGCCTATTTATCCTATCCTATCTATCCTATCCTATCTATCATACATAAATAAGTTGTTGAAACTTGGAGAAATTAATCTATTGATCTATTCAACTATCTATCTATCTATCTATCTACGAGTATATATTTTGATTATTTACCTAGGTTGCTATCCTAGCTATCCTGGTGTAGTGTAGTATAGTTAGTGTACTTTAGTAATGTACTCGAGTAATATAGTCCACCACCATAGTAACTTATAAACTAACTAACGGGCAAGGCAAGGCAAGGCAGTACATATTAGTATACGAGATACGAGATACGAAACAAATTGCAATATAATATACATTGCAATATAAATATGAGTGAATGGAGTGAAACATGTAAGTATAAAAGAAGAAAGTAGAATTCCATACTAATAACTACAGCCTGAGTAGCATATTGGAGTGAGTGAGGTATTATCTCAACCAACGCCAGAATTCCATGCCGGAATAAAACAAATCCAAATCCCTATTCCCTTCCAATTCTAGAGAATTAGATGTATAACATTTCCGAGCGCTATAAACGCCCCCTAATCGAAGCTCCCGCGGCGTCCCCATCAAAAATCAGACCCATCCATCATATCCCAATCCCGCTAATTCCCTTAATTTGACATGCCTTCCCTCGTTTCCCCGCCCCTCGCCTCACAAAAGCAAACTCGCCTTCCATTCCGCTAACCCCTTCATCGTCCCAATATACCCAATATACGCATCCGGTCTTACAAACACATAACCGGGCTCCGTCGCAAACCCATACTTCTCATGCAGAATACCGCCTTCATCACAAATATCATCTTTTGCTCTCTTCTCTTCACTAACAATCCTATGAATCTGCAACCAACTCCTCTCCTTCTCCGGAAAATCCGTCCCAACCGTCTCCAGTAATTCTTCCGCATTCATACTCCCTTTCCCTAACCCCGAAAAAAGTAGTAAATGATGCGTAGGCCCTTTAAATAAAGAGTACAAATTCGTCGTTTCAAGTGTTCCCGGTAGGATAATTCTTCCATCTGGCACGCGATCGCCTCCTCTTCTAGGCCCGTAATATGCACTCGCAGTTTTACAGATCGACGAATGACGATATTTTATCCCAAGCTGCGAAACGAAACGAAATCTCCTAGCTCGATTTGCGCCCTCTTTGAAGGCAATTGGAGCTAACCATGGAAATAAGGTATTGCGTATGTAGAGATAGATAGGATTAGACGTAGTCATAAATTCGAAGATGCGATCTGTGCCTTTGAGAAGATTGTTGCCGACGCGTCGACGTTCAATGCTGTAGGAGTCGAGGAAGGCATCTTTCTTCTCTTTGCGAAGGACCATGCCGAGTTTCCATCCGAGATTGATGGCATCTTGAATACCTGTATTCATTCCTTGACCACCAGCTGGTGAATGGATATGCGCTGCGTCTCCAGCGACAAATATACGTCCATTGCGAAAAGAATCGGCAATTCGATGATGGAGTTTAAATCGAGTGATCCACATAGGAGGATCCTCGAGTTGTATGTTTCCCGTAGCAAGTCTTTGGAAAGCTCCTTCGAATTCTCTAAGAGTAGGTCCATCATCTTGTGATTCTCCGTAGTCTGACTCTCCGTTCTTAAGAGCAGGAACACCCAACACAAGTCGATATGCTCCATCTTTGAGTGGTATACACATCATAAATTCGCTACCCATTAATAGGGTCATTCGATCGGGTGCATAATCCCATTTCAGTTTCACATCTGCGAGTAAGAAATCCGATGCGTATGCAGAACCTTCGAACTTCAAATCGGCGGATTTCCGAACCATTGAATGTGAACCATCACATCCGGCAATGTATTGACAGCGTATCTCCTCTTCATTGGGTTCTTCATACCCATCTTGCTTGATTTTCCTGACCCGAACCGAAACACCATTGTCATCCTGAACAATGCTTGTAGCTTTTGTTCCCCTCTCGACTTTGCCTCCGTATTCTTCTAATTGTCTTTCAAGACATAGTTCCGTTTCGCTCTGGCTGACAAAATACGGTCCTAAGTACTCTGTATCGACTACTCCCATACTTTCCTTGTTCAGATCCACCTCTAACGCTTTCTTTCGATTGACGTAGAAACTCAACCCGAGGTTTTGTTTGCAGAGGGGGAGGAGATTCGATACGAGGGAGGGGTGCCGGGAGAGAAGTTCAAGGGAACGGCTTTGGAGGACTAGAGCGCGAGAATGAGGTGAACGTGTGAATAGAGGGTCGATTAGGATGAATGGGACTTGCTGGACAAATAGTTCGAGAGCCAAACTGAGGCCAGTTGGGCCTGCGCCCACGATGAGGACTGAAGTCGATCGCATGTTAATATTGGTTAATCCGTCTGTTTGAGATTAGATAAGAGGAAGATAACAAAGAGTATTTGAAAGAAAAGAGGTTGAATGATGGCGGGCATGTCTTGGTATATATTTATGTGCTGCCAATTCAGTACCTCTATGCTTTTAGCATATTCACTTACATCGCTGAACACATAACCGGAGTCTACTAACACCGTGTGATAGGAGTAATGCTGTGCAACAGTGAAAGTGTTGGGCTTTCCATGGCCTTATGTGTAACCTGTTTCCTGTCCTGAGACTGATAAGAATCTCGCATCATGAATTTGGCCAGTAGTATATCTTTGTTCTGCCGCCTTCTGTACTCCACGAGTAGATGACAGTGGCACGGATGGATGGGTCTGACTCTGAGAGAATGGCATGACGGAAAACTTCGTCTGGGTTACCGATGAGCTTGGCCCCTTCATCTAGTAAGCGCGGTGTTTTAGGTACATTTATACCGACATCAAAACAACCCTATTCATTTCTTAACGTCACGATTGAACACTTCAATTGGTTTTGATGGAATATATTGCATCAATTTGTATTCAGCTGATCTTTATATTACTGTTCAACTTACATATCGGCTCTGACTACACCAGATGATCCGCTTTGACTCAAGTGTGTCAGTTGATGCGAAAGCATATCCAGAACAATCTTATGAGTAGGTAAGAACAGATTACGAAAAGGCGGTATACTTCAAAGTTAAAGATACAGTACCGTACTCTCATCGAATTCATGCACTCGAGTAGTACTATTTTCTTTGTAATATCATATCTTGCTCTTTTTTTCGTGGTTTTACCTTCGCTAGTCACATACGAAGATGGCTCGAGGTGTGGCTCCATACCTGTGCCTCAATAATCTACCACTCGAGTATTTCCATTCACATACATTCCATATTCCCTACACATGATTGTAGGTAGGGTAAGGTCTAATTTGGAACAGATTCGATTTCTGGTGCAACAAAAGTCTGACTAATCCTGAATACTATCCAATACCCAGTCAGTCATATATGAGCTGGAACAAGGCCACAACCAGTCCCGTCGCTCGTATCTGGCCGTTTATTGAACCTCTATTGGTTTGAATGGTAAACACGAAATGCATGTTGGCGCTGGAGGCTTGGGATATTGGCAACTTGAGCCGCTCGAAGTGACACGAGATAAGTCGTCTTGTGAGGCTGTGAAATGCAGCTTTTATATATAGTGTTGATCCACTCGACAGATCCAAACACTGTTATTGCATTCAAAGATATCTCCGATTCAATGTTATTATGAGCGCCTTACTTCCCGACCGTCTTCTAACAAACATCACCATACAAGTTCCCAACAGCACAACACAACATGGCAATGAACACATATTGTGCCTTCCTATCACCAAAGACTATTGGCCTTCGGTCGCAGCTATTATTATCTTCTTTGCCACAAATTATTTAGCCCACGCAGCGACCGTCAAATCAAGCCCCGGAGATGACACTCTTCTCCAGACCTGTAATGCTCTTTTGGCGTTATGTTTTCCGATGTCTGGTCTCCTGCGAGCGCTCAACGCTTTTGTCCGAATGCCGATTCTTGCTCGCAACGAGCTGGACAAAGCATGTAGAGCTGGGGCGCTCTGTATGGTTGTTCGAGCACCTCATTGGAGACCTCAAATAGGCCAGAAGCTTTCCGTGGGAGTAGTGCTTGAAAATGATGAAAGCGTGGTAGTTATGGATGCTGAGGAGCAAATTGGACGCAGTCGTTCTCCGTCAATAGCAGCAAACATGATAACATATCTTCCTTCATATGCCCGATAATACTCCTCGGCATGGATACACTTCGATTCTGTCTGGGCCAGATCGCGCGTGGATCTTCGATTGTCACGAGTGCATGGTGCATATGACCTTCCAGAAGGCTATGAATTTGCCATAGTGCCCCGCAATACCTTCCTAGTTTCCCAAGTAGCCTCAAATATTCGAGGAGATCCACGACTTAGCAGCGAGATCAGTGCTGGCTATAATATTCTGAAAGCAGTAGCCTCTCTCATTCAAGTAGTCGCTGCATTCACAACCCTTCTTTCAAACCGCCTAGACTTGATTAGACGATGGGGGTACGCATCATATCACCTCACAGTTATACCATACCTTACCATGACTCTTGTCAACTTGGTTTCCAATATGGTGTCCCCGGATTATCCTTGCCTGTACATGATACGCAGCGAAACTATGGTTGAAGCAGAAAGAATCGGCGGCAGATTTGAAGGCGAAATAGCCCAAGAGATGCGATGCAAGTCGAGGATCCAGCATGGAGCGGTCTTACAAAGAAAGATATTCAGAATTTCTCTATCACAATTACCTCGACAACTAGCACGATGTATCTTTTAAGTATGATCATTGATCTGCTTGACGACATTCTTGCGAGGAAGAAGAAGCTATCCGCCAAGGATGCGAAAATCGTACACTTGGAGGTAGTTTCCCAATTCAATACTTCCCCCACCACCCCCACGCCTCCCACGAACGACTCTGAACCGAATATAACGCAAGAAAACCTGCATGTGGATCAATCTGGCACAGGTTTGCCTAGTAGCGGCAAGAAAAAGCAGGGATTGCAAACCTTTTCTCCGTCGACGACTCTAGTACGCAATATCCGGAGGATATTCTAGCGAAGGCACTGGGTTCAACGGATGAGTACCAGATTCAGATTCCTCGCGCACCACAGCTATCATTAGGAAAGGGCTTCTTATATACCATGCACCGAGTTTTGGAGGATCAGTCATCTGCTGAAGGTAATCAGAACAATCATTCGCTTGCCATGTTGCAAAATGTACGAGAAAACACGAAGCGCCTTGGATCCTATCGTTCCTCGGATCTTCCAAACTCCATGATTTATCGAGCGGTGGTTCTATTCAAGTTTGGAATGAAACTTTTTCTCTTTCCAATGAAGTGGGATGATAGTCCGGAGCTCATCTCAATTCGATCGGCTATAATCTACCATCCCAATTGTCAGCGATTCCTCCGATGGGATGATTTCACTGACCCTCCCAAAGTCAATGAAGAAAAGTCCCTGGTGAATCAACTAAAAGCACCATCCCCAATTGCTGAAAGTGGAGAGGCTAATCTAGCCGCGTCTATTTCTAATGTTCGATCACTACTCCATCTACCGGAAAGACCATTAACGAGTCCTGCATCGATCACCGAGCTCGAAGGTCTCCTTCGACAGCCAGCGATAACAAGATCAAGTGGTCGAACAAGTTGGGCTATCCTGGTGGAGATCAGTGTTGGCACCTGCATCGTCGGCCTATTCTTTGACTTAATTGCTGGCTTGACCAAATTTCATGCTGGCGAGAGTTCCACAACAGAAAGGGGTGTTATGATGGCATGGCTTGCGAGTGGATTATACGGATTCTGTCTTCCTCTCTTGAGTACCATGGAACTTTTAAAGGTTCTGTTTTTGTTTCCTGTCATTATATCTCTATGTTGTCTGGCTGGCGCTCCCACGTTCCTTCACCTTGATGCTGAAAATGACAGAACGCTTCGAGACGATGCACAAATCAACGAAGCCACTACCAGTAGCTGGAAAAAGGGCCTTGGTAAGTTCAGCAAGGCCTGCGCTAAACTCATGTCTGAGGTTTCCGAGTTCGTGGCTTTTAACTTGAGTCCTCCGCCGCCAGCAGCTGCCCTCATTTATGCAATTGCGTTTGTTCCTCTAGGGATTTTCATTCCGCCTATTTGGGGTTTTGTGCTTGTGGGGAGGATGCTGACGCAGTGGGGTGACTGCGTGCGATTATATTAAGGTCATGTTACTGGCATCATGAGTTCGTTGTTGTAGAATATTGTCGGGAGTAGAGGGGGTGCCTAACTAAGTCTGCACGATTTTGAACGCGGAATATTTTGGCTTTAAAAAAAATCTGTTCCGAATATTGATTTTCTTAGCAGCTAGCTTTTTTAACAGAAAGGATATCATATTACTTCTTTCTTCAAGTAAACCGTCGCCAAGCCCCTAGATCTGTTCATTATAATTATGATAGCCTCGACGCAATACGAGTATAAGCATATTATATATATTATATATAGGTATTTGAGTAAGATTCCAGTATCAGACACCACCAAGATCGTAGCATATCTATAACAGAGCTATTAGTAATATCTCCTGTATGCATCAATACCAGTCTGAGGGAGGAATATTACATATAATCAGCAATGAATAATTTCCTGGTCGGCATCTGCCTGGGTATAAAATTATAGACTGCCCAGACTCAGACTACATTCTCAAAAGATGAAGCTGAAGAGATGTATACTGGAGTAAATGATAATTATCCGGAGCATAGCATAGCATAGCATAGCATAGCATTACGTTATCCACGTTGTTATATAGATAGATAGAATCTGATAAATGGATAGTGACTCGTGAGGTTATGTTGGCATATTTTTCTCCAAGTTAGAAGTTAGAACACAATATTCGTATCAAGAAGCGTTTGATACAGTAGGTTGGCTATCTATGCACTGCCGAGATCCTTAGCTATAGGTCTGATTGATAATTTTTATTACCGTGATAGAGGTAGGTTTATAAATGAAGCGATTTTAATTCCTAGTACCAAGAACTAAAACGAAATACAAACAGCAGTCACAATTCATGTCTCACGATGTTGAAGTCGAATAATAATTTGACTGTTGGCGTTGGTGTTTGAATCGCTGCTGCGCTGCGTAAGTTACATTATGATGATCCTGCACTCCTTCATTTCCACATCCATCTCCTGGAACGAAACGACTTACTTACTTGTTTGTTTGATATGCATGCGATGATCTTCTTAAGGCTCGCTGTGCCGACTTGGATATAGCGCTTTTTGGAAACTTAATGTGAAGATCAATCATAATATAATTTCCATGGTATGATGGCTATAGCAATACTGCACTGCACTGTTCAGACTGACGGAAAGATTAGCTTGCCTTTCATGCTATAGAGCACGAGCACATAATATATCGCGAGAATTTGATCAAGGGTTGTTCACACTTGTGTCCTCAGTACTGACCTGACCTCAGTCCTGAGGCGAGCTTTCGCAGCGCCAAGCCGAGTTCGCTGGTGAGCATGTATAAATCTAAAGTCCAAAGTAGGAAATGGAACATTAACGAAGTTGTTTCTGGCTGAGGCGTTGAATATATATGAGTAGGTACCTAGGTAGTTTTCTCCAAGTCTTGGAGCGGAAACCGAGAGGAGGAGGTGGTGAGGGGAGAGAGAGAGAGGTCAAAGATTTGGTAGGGTTAATATGATAGTCGGGCTACAATCAATCCGTTAAATTAAACGTAAAGTTATATGAAGGTATTGATCTGTTTGTTTGAGGAAGGTTAAAGGAGTTAGTCACATGAGATTCGCATTTCTACCTAAATACTGTTTGTACTCTCTTTATAACTCTAGTACTGAGCACATGCCCCACAATAAAACATTCATTACAAGAATATAACCCCTTCTTCACATCGCAGCTACAACAAATACAACCAATCAGCTTCTATGGTCCAAGGGTTAGGATTCCACCCTTCCATTAACCGTATAACGGTTATATCAAGTTAGGTGGAGGTTCGTGTTCGAGTCACGGTAGTTGCAATTTTCTTTTCCTTTTTACCTTTTTTATATTTTATATTTTCAAATTATCTTTTCTCATAAATTTTGATTTCCTTCAGAAAGGGAGAAAGAAAGTCATTGAAGGTTTGTTTTGTTGGCGCCCTCATTAAGATCAAGCTAGGATAAGAAACGATAAGGTATTGACTGAGTGACTGACTGACTGAATGATAATGTTGGGATCTGGAGTAGATACCTAGTACCTACCACCAGACTTTACAATTGGTGAAATAAAAGTCGATGGATAGATACCTAGTAGATATCTTAAATCTCATACCACCCCACTCCATCCTTCTGAGATGCCTTCCCTTCTTTTCCAAAATCAACCTCATCCATCCAACTCGATCATATATCCAACAACCAATTTAATTATCTACTATAACAACCCCCCTCATTCAATACCTGACCACCTACCTGGCCATCTACCAATCCAATCTACCAATCCAATCTACCCACAAGAATCAGATACAACACGACACAGCATACGAAACCTGGAGACGAGACTCCTTGTATACAGCCTCCGTCTTGTATAGAGCCCCTCGTATTCGTATACATCCACCCCATCTATCCAATATATATCAGAAACAACCAAACTCCTACTCATACTCTCACTCACTCCCTCTTTCTCACCCTCACCCCTCCCCTCCACTTCACAAAAAACACTCAACTCACAGCCCAGCCCAGCCCAGCCCATCCCATCCCATCCCAGCTCAACTCAGAGACGCAGCACAAGACATCAAAATACATGCAAAGTAAGTATTGTGTACGAGTACTACAGTAGGTGGTATGCACGGCGTCATAAGGCTAAATAAAAGAGCAGAAATAGACATAGACAGGCATTTATATATTATACAAGCATATATATATAAAAGCATAAGTATAGGTAAGCACAAGTATAAGCACAAGCGACAAATACCCCCGATATCAAATCAATATATCAGCGTCCAAAGTCCCAAAGTCTCATATACAAGGCAAGCAAGCAAGCAAGTGATCAGTCACTACGCCACATCGATACTGGAGAAGCTTCTTCTTAAGGGTCCTGCGATAGGATAGAAATAGATTTCGCTGTGATATCTTTGCAATGACAGCAATCCCATATAGGGTAAAAAAAGGGCAAGGCCAAGAAGATGTCTCCCTACATGAAACCCTTCGAAACTATGATACAAGCTCCCTTGAAAATCCGAAAAAACACGCAGAAAGTTGGAACCAAAATGACATTCAAGTCAAAAATCGCCACCCTAGCCAAATCAGATCATTCATTTCGCTTTTACCAATTCATGCAACCCAAATACTTGTACAATTCCTGTAAGGAAAAAAAAAATGGCCTAGGGAGCTCAATAAAAAGTTGGAATCATGATGTTTGTTTCTTCTCGGAGTGTTCGTTGCCATTACGATTATTGTGGTGATTGGCCGCTTTCTCCTTTCGAGCTTCATCGATAGCAGTTCGTTGTTGTATGCTAGAATCATGAGACTTCCATTCTACCTTGGTTTCTGGTGGAAACGAAAGAACACGCTTCAACGTCTCCCTATTTAGCTGTTAGTATATGATTTCAAATGTGATAGAGAGGTTATGTACCTAATCTTGAGTACCCTCCCGCCACCTGAACGGGTCCAGATACTCAAAATATCTTCTCCATTGCGTACACTAAGTACGACCCCGCAAACTTCCTCGCTAGGATCGAATTCATCTCCAGCCATTGCAAAGACTAAATCCTCCCAATAACGATCGGCGACACCCTTCTTGAGTCTCACAATCCACTTACCTCCTTTTTTGTTTTCATCATCCTCCCAAACAGGACGAATTCCCTTCTTAAACATGTGGTAGTCGGAAACTAGTGGCAGATTCGAGGGGTGCCTCATATGATCGAACACATCAAATAATTCCTCCGCCGAATTGAATGCCGCCATTGGATGTAATGTCTTTTCGTAATCCACAAATCCGTTTGATTTGGAGATTGGCGGTCGGTACCAGAATACCCAACCATGTCTAAATTGATGAGAAGCTGGTGATGTGGCCGTCTTAGAATCTGTGAGAGAAATTTTAGAGGCCTTTGACCCCAAATCACTATAATTTTTCTCCGCAGTTGGTGTTTTGGTGGACCCTCCCACCACACTTCCAAAATCCAGTGCGCCTCCGCCTCCAGGTGTCTTTGAGCCCTTCGAATTTCCAAACGATGCGAAAGCGCCTGAACCTAATCCAAAGGCACTGGATGCGCCAGCTGTTGGGGAGGATAAAGATGAGGCCGAAGGAGACATGGAATTGAAAGGATTTTTTGTGCCGTGTGAGGAAGAGTCTCCATGTCTTCTACCCAGGGCAAATCCCCTTGCCGGGTGGTCGCCACCATTAAGAGTTGTTCCATTCGTAGTTGGATTTCCTGTGGATAGCGAAAGTTTGCTTGAACTGTACCGCACTTGATTAGAAGTGCTCAAAGAAAGAAGCAACGCAGGAACGAAGAAGGAAATACTTACTTCGAACGGCGAGTCCACAGGTTATCCATTACGAAAGGATGGAAATGAGATCTGATTGATATGCGCTTAAGTCAAGCTTTCAAGATTTGACGATATAATGAGCTTCTGTTATGACGGTGAGCTTCGAGATTTGCGGTTGATGGAGATGTATAATTGAGGTATCGGGTGACTTTTGTTGAAGAAGTATGGATATCGCGGAGGGCTAAAATTGGCAGGAAAGTTTAGAAGTTTGGAAGTTTGGAGGTATTCTGTAAGTTGATGATGATTCTTATTCGGGATATTGTATTTGTATTTGTATTGTATATGTGTATGTGTATGTGTATGTGTATTGAGTTATGAGTATTGAGTAGGTATTGTATTGAAGGTTTTCAGATTTATTCAATTAGATAAGTTTGCAGTAGTGGGTATTGATTCTGTACTATCGCGGCACCTAAATCAATCTTAGAGCAGCGCGGGGCCTAACTCATTTAGCGAATGACGCTAGTGTCATAAATGATTTGTTTGAATTTTTTTCCTTTCGAATTCCTTTCTTCTTCAACAATAAGACCATTAACTTTAAAATATCGACAGTTTGATAGTTTCACAACTCAAATGCCGATTTAGTTAATTAGGGTCAAGAAGAATATTATTACCACTTAAAAACCATCGTCACGAGGGCCCCTCGTGCGGCTTCCATGACCCGATGATGACCTAAAGATGGAAACATACTGAATTTTGAACATGGAGTTTTTTATTTTGGGAGGATGAGAATGATGATGACGGAGATGGAGTTGGAAACTAGGGTAAGCACGCTTTTGCATGTTCTGTGCAATAGAATGATGGATGATATGAGGATAATCACTTCTGGTAATACGATTCAACCGCCATGTTCTTCGGAATACATGATTGCTGGTTGAGATTGAGATGAAAATTGGCAAAAAAAACTGATCGTTTGGGCGGGAGCTTACTATGAGCGGATTTATCATGAAACATTTCAATGCTGACCTATTATTATCAAAGTTCATAGTCAAATATCAATTGTGTCTTCTATTCATCTTCAGTTCTTGTCCGCTTGATAATGTCTGAAGGTGCTTGAGTACTAGTGGTGTCGAGACGCAAGAGGATCTGATATCATCCAACGACGGAATTCATGCATAGATTCTTGCTTTCAACCTTTCACTCTGATTAATTTGGATTGCCCCTCTGATATCATCTTTAAAATCTATCTTCACAATTGCCCATCACGTTTTGTCCATCACGTTTCTCATAGTCATAACCCAGCTCTTCCATTGTCTTTGCTTTCCCACCATCTTCGATGAAGCTCTTTCTTATGTCTGCAAATAACCTTCTCACCCATAACATCTTCTCATCCCAACATGCAGGTTCCTTGCTGAACCCACCTTCAGCACCTTTGACCCAGTCATGCAAACCATTTATGTATTCCGCATCGTGCGGATAACCAAAGATGTGGAAAGACGTGCCATTACCATGTTCTTTCACTCTTTCCTGTTCCCATAACTTCATTTTCTCCTTACTAGGCAAGACCAACTTGTTCGACCAAACTTTCGAGATTGCTGCGCTCTGGACCTCAGATATTGGGAACGGGACAACCTTTTGCGCCAATGCTGTAAATGCAAGGGTTGGATGTTGAATGTCAAATAGATGCTGATATGAACCGACCACTCGTCGACCGGTGGTGACGACAGGCGGATCCAATGAGTTGAGAAATGGATATGAGTAAAAGTATCCTGTGCAGTATACAATGGCATCGATATCTTTTTCGATCCGTCCGTCGTCGAACCTCACACCCCTGATATCGGCGAGGTATTCTGAAATGGGAGGTACCTCTTCCTTCCCATCTTCTGCCTCGCCCGAGGAAGTTCTGACGGAATTCAATAAAGGCTGTTTGCAAACTTTACTGATTTGCGTTCCAATATCCAAGCCCGATGCTCCATTGCCAACCACGATTACTCTCTTGCCTACAAAAGCGTCGGGTGAACGAAAGATTTTGGAATGTGAAATGATAGATGGATGAGCCGAGTTGAATGCCTTTATCCCTGGTACATCAGGTATGAAAGGAACCGAATAATGGCCATTTGCAACAATAACGGCATCATAAGTCTCCTTGATCTCGTTATTGGTAATTGTAGATTTGGAAGTGATTTCCCATCGATCATGATCATTGTCAGCTTCTAATCTTATGTCCTGAACTTGCTCCGAGAAACGAATCAGATGTCTAACATCTCCAGAATAATGAACAAGGTATTCTTGAACATCTTCACGCATAGGGAAGAGCAAAGAGTCGGAACGAAATGGTCGGTCAGAGAAACACATCAGCGTCTTGGGAATATTCGTGTGTAAACGATCATACATGGGGTTGGAGAAAATGGGAACTTTTCCGTCCTTCGGCCATATCGGTTTCTCAGGTGATACATTTGGTGTTGTTGATGGGATGGGTACACTGTCACTTATATTTGGAGTATAATTCCAAACTCCTCCAACTTCAGCTTGTTGTTCAATGATATCGATCTTATCAAAGTACTTTTCCGCCTGAAGGAACTTTCCAGCAGCCAAGCCAGATGGACCTGCTCCTATGATTGCAATTTTCTTGATGTTGAATGGAACTCGCAGCTTGGAGTTCATTTTGGTGATTCCGACACGAGTTTGATATCTTTACTCTTTTCAGATTCTCCGCGAAAGTCTTATGTCGGCTCGGACCTCTGATCTGAATCAGGTACTGTAGGTATATATATTTATGTGCAAAAAGGAAAAAAAAAACCGATAATTTTTGAGGGCTGTTGTATTGTGAAATGAAAAGCAATTTCAATTTCAGCTACGGAGTGCACCTGACTAGTACTCTTTGCTTCACTTGCAGTAAGGCGTGCTGTTTGCTGGGGTTGTCCATTCACATACATACTTGCCTCTTCTCTCGATATTATTAGTATAGCGGTACTAGATATCATTGGTTGACTCAATAGATAACCAATTTTCAAGGAATGAACAGATTTTCCACCCAGGGTTTGTTATTTCTCATCAGAGATCCTGTATTCCCCATAATGCCAAGGAATTAGTACAAAAATCTATGTCTTTAGTATATCGGCAAAACTTATAAAATATTCCGATGACGCCTATTCGCAAGCTATTAATTAATACCACAGAGCTCCCATCACAAAGAATTCACAACGCGTCCCACCAAATTCAAGTCAAATGCTTACACACACATAAGAATCCTGTTTATTTTCAAAGCATTACAGGAATGGAATGATATGATTATTCATCGGTAATTAGTATTGGAAGCAGGAATTCTCCGTTTTACAATGGCGGAAACAACTACAACAATGTCAACTCTAGAGTCAACTACGCATATTCCAATCGCACAGCTTACACCATCACTTCCCTCATCGACTTCGAAATCTGTTAAAGCGGTAGTAACTCTTACATGGCCATACAGCTCCCGCACGGGTTCTGTAGCCTTTCTACTCGCAGAACCAGATTTCCGCCTGCGCAGAACCAGAGGCCAAGTGCGCGTACAATTCTCAGGATCGTCTGCGAATATAATCGCAAAGTCGGGTATTGCTAGTGGAGATGAAGTGATCTTATGTCTAGATGGAGTGGAATACGTGGAACCTGAAGCTACAAATGCGACACCTGGAAGAGGTGTGGAGTTTGAATTGAAATTCACAGAAAGACTTCTACTTCAGGTAAGAGTGCCCTTCAATTTGCATACATTATGTTCTGATTTATCTGGCTGCAGTTCCGACCGGAAGAATCTCAAGATACCAAGTTGATCAATATCGACCATCCCGATCCGGAACCTATTCCAACACCCGCGCCCGCTTCAGCGACAAATATAGAGACCAATAATCAAGGACCAGAAGCCCCAGCAACGCCTGCCCCGTTTTCAAAACGAATTGCTACACAGATTGCAGAGGAATATTCTTCCCCAGCTTTCTTGAAACGTGAGCGAACATCGTATGGATCAATATTTGATGAAGGCTATGATCCTTTTGAAGTGGGGGATGGGTCAGTCCGTGAAAAAGGCAGGAAGAGGACTAGATTTAGTACAACATGGCGATATACAAGCAGGTCACCAAGTCCCAGTCCAGAGGTTGAAGAGCAAGTAGCAGCGCCTTTGGAAAATGATATCCAGGATCCAGCAAACCAACATGCGCCAGCAATGACGGACGAGGGTGTTCAGACTATGGAGGTCGAGGAGCCGGCAGCAGCGCCGTTGGAAAATGGCATTCAGGATCCAGCAAATCACCATTTTTCGGTAATGACGGACGAGGGCGTCCAGACTATGGAGGTTGAAACCGAGGTAATTGCTGAAGTGACACAAACATTGCACATAAGTCTACCTAGAATAATCGAGGAGACTGAGACAATTGGCATCGTACATGTGCATGCGGAAGATCGATTGCAGGAACAGTCACAAGTCGAAGAGACGATTGCAAATACCATGCCACCCCCACAGAGTCAACCTGATATTATCATGCCAAAAATTGAACAAGGAACATCGCCCGACGATTTAGTTGAGAAATTGCCTTCTTTCCCGCAGCTACGAACTTTGCCATCAGAAGGTCTACCTTTGGTCTCCCCATTTGTGACAAGCCGATTTGAGACGTTCAACAACCACATTCACAAGGACTATGCTCAAGACCTTGAAGTTCCGAATTTTCCAGCTATACTTTCAGCAGAGACTGATATGCAGATACAAGTCGACGACGACAAAGGGGATTTATATGGTGCAAGCCCTCTGCGTCGTACACGCGACCAGCCGAGATCAGACCAGACCAATCATCGAACATCAACAATTCATTCTGGAAACAAATCTCGCTCCGCAAATATGGAAGCCGCCTTCCCTCCTCATCAAGAAGGTCAACTCGAGGCCGAGCAAGGTGCTGAACAATTCTTTCCCCCCCACAATACTTCTGACCCAATTTCCTATATACCGGTCAGCACTTATGCTGGAATGTCTGAAGAGCAAGGCCAATACATCTCCAATGAAATGGAGGAGGATATGGCTCATTATAATTATCCCGATCCAGAGCCACAATCAAACAATTGGGGAACTCAATCTAGTATGGCTTATCCAGGTCTCGAAGACAGTCAGGAACAATTCAACTCATACCCCCAACACCCATCTATGCCATCTATGGCTCGGTCTCAAAGTAATCAATCTCATCAATCTCACCAATCTCAACATCCGTCCCAATCTCCCCAATCTCAAATTGTTGATTTGACCGAGAGTGATGATGAGGATGAGGACGCTGAAGGATATCTTGAAGTTGAAGATAATAGCCGACAGCACATATCTAGCTCACATTTACCAGTGTATATTGGGGAAGAAACATTTTATGATGAAAAAGAAGAAGATGAAAGCAGTGTTTATGACGATGAGAATAAAGTAGAATACAAAGCCCCTCCCCGCGATGTCCCAGAAGGAGTTGATCATGGAGATGACTACGGAGAGGGCTTTTCTGGTGACGATGACGAGAATATGGATTCAAGAGGCAGAGGCCACTACTTCGAAGAGGATGAAACCGGCAGTGAAGATGTTTATGATGAAGACGACTACAATGAGAACGATGTAGATAACGAAGTGCCGCTGCAGCGACAGCCACCACGAGAGCCGGAAGTGATAGACCTTTTGTCTTCAGATGATGAAGATGAGGAGCCAGCAGCGACACGGATAGTTTCGAGATCACGACCGCAAATCCCGGATGCTCGAAAGGAAGATTATTTCGAGGATGATGAGATTAACGAAGAAGAGGGTGATACAGAGGAGGACGAGGCTGAGGGCGAATCTGAGGACGAAGACGAGGGGTGGGAAGGTTTCGAAGTAGGCGGCGAAGAAGTTCAAAACACCGACATGCCTACGACAACATCTCAAGAATTCGTCAGAGATTCCTCCACCGAGTCGGTTGAGGACGAGTTAATGGGAAACGAAAGCACGCTAGTCGATGATGGCGATGACACAGTCGAAGTCGATGCTGAAATGTCCGAACTGGTTTCGAATTCAGTGGAATCTCGTCTTGTTTCCGACGCTCAAGTGGATGTAGATGCAAGTCTGGATGAGTTAGAGGGCACACAGCAACATCCTCAACAACAAGAATTTCCTGAGGAACAGGGTACTGTCGAATTCGTTCCTGAACCTATAGATGTTGAGACCAGCTCGGCCGTCAAGATGGACACTGATAATACTACGGACAATCTAGACGGATTATTTGAGAAACTAGAGGAAGCCGGATCAGAGACACAATTGGAACAAGGACTTTCAATTGTGGAGAGTGACGAGCCTCGAAATGATGCGGAGGTTATCGAGGATGATGTTCAAGATATTGGGAATGAAGACAATGTCCAAAGCTCGGATGAAGCAAATGCTGACGAGACCTCTTCACAAGAATCCGAAATAATTGAAGCGACAGATATTCTAATAACAGCAGATGCAGTCCCCTGCGGTCCAGAACTGACTGAAGACAATGTCCAAAACTCGAATGTTGCAAAGGCTGACGAGATTTCTTCACAAGAATCCGGATCGGCTGAAGCGACAAATGACCCAACAACAGTAGTGGAAACCTCCTACGATCCAGAACTGATTGAAGACAAAGAAAACGTTATTGATTCTGTTCTAGAAGATTTGCCCCCAGCACCAGCACCAGCAGTCGTAGAGATATCTGAAGATCCAACAATACCTAGAAGTACAGAACAAAATATTATCGATCAAGCTGCCAAGTCTGGTTGGGCAAATCCCAAACATGCTACCTTATTCTCAAGAACTTTTGGTTTAGATGGTGCGAATGATGCGAGCAATGAGGGTGACCAGGATAATGAGGGTCAAGTTTCTTACCCTACGTTGCCTGTGACTGAACCGGAAGATCAACAAAAGTTAGATGATGATCCAGAACGATTTTCGCAGTCTGAAAACCCTACCCATGGCATTGATATCCCCACAAACCATCGCAATCATCAACTTCAGACCCCCGATAATACTCTAAAGATGGATGTTGACGAGGACTCCTTCATGTCGATGTCAGATCTACTTCAGTCCCAACTACAAAAAGAAATGGGAGAGATGGATGAAGATATAGAAATGATACAAAGTGATGAAAGCATTGAGGAGGATCGGGTTTTGGCCACAGATACGGAAACGGAAACGATAGATAAAGATAAAATCCAAGTGATTGCCCCCGAACTCGAAGATTTTGAGGTTAAGGTCACCAAGACGGAGATTTTTGAGATAAGAGAGACCGAATCTACTGAAATTGAAGTGGATCACGTTGACGAAGACCTTGTCAAGGTTGTTTTAGCTGAAGCTAAGCAGGTAGAGGCAGAGCAGGATGGAGACGAGGAGTTTGAGAATGAGAAGTCCCAGCTTGCCCAAATCGAAGCCGATATTAGAAAAGCCGAGATGACAGAACTCGAAACTCAACGAGGTCTTGCAAAATTGGTTGAAATTATAGCTCTCAAGCAAGACACCGGAATGGTTGAAGTCGAGGAAGAATATATCGAGGAGACCGTCAAGGAGAATGAAATTATTGTTGATAGTACCGAAGCTATTATGTTGGAGCAGGTCATATCAGAGCCACCTACAGCTCCCTTACGAGACCGAAACCGCAAGGAATCTTCACTAGATATTAAGAAAGGCATCACAGAACCGGCCTCTGTCAGCCCTAGACAAACACGATTCAGCCTGGAACCTTCGCCTGTATCAAAGGGTAGGAGAGGATCGACCGCTGTCGGTCCTGTCAGTCCTAGACAAACACGATCCAGCCTAGAACCTTCACCTGAATCAAGGAAGGTTAGGAAAGGATCGACCGCTGTTGATCCTGTCAGTCCTAGACAAACACGATCCAGCCTAGAACCTTCACTGGAATCCAAGAAGGGTAGGAGAGGATCGACCGCTATCGGTACTGTCAGTCCTAGACTAACAAGATCCAGAAAGTTGGAGCCAGTTGTAGAAATTATTACTCCTATAACACCTTCGAAATCCAACAAAGAGAATGAAAGACCGTCTACACGTGGTAGCAATCGCTCTAGGAAATCGCCATCCATAGTTCTCGACGAAGAGGAAATACCACAAGGCCATGATGCAAGCGCCGAAGTGGCTCTAGAATCACTCGAAATACCCGAATTACCCGAATCACCAACAAAAGCCGGTCACCAGCTCAGAGCGCCAGCATGTACTGACCCAAAACTCCGTTTGACTAAATATCTTCGTACTGATCTAAGCGAATACACAACTCTCAAACTGCTGCGTTTTAAGATGACGTCGAAACTGGATGTTTTGGCGATTGCTACGAGTGTACCTCCGGAACCTCATAGAGCAAAATCGGGACCAAAGCATTACACAACCACTTTCACTATTACCGATCAGACAATTGCTCCTTCGGGAGTAGTAGAAGTAAGAATCTTCCGTCCATACAAAGATGCTCTACCCATACCTGAGATTGGAGATGGAATTCTATTAAGAGATTTCAGCGTTTTATCAATCAAAGGCAAAGGTTTCGCACTACGGTCTGAAGAAGGAAGTAGTTGGGCGATATTCAAGGATGAGGGTACAGAAGTGGAAATCACGGGACCTCCTGTAGAATATGGTACTGGGGAGAAGAAACACATGAAGGAATTGAGAGAATGGTTTCACGCGCTAGATGATGATCAAAAGACAAAGTTGGAGAAAGTTAGTACCGCGATGGAGAAGGTTCCTCCGGGAAAGAGTACACCGGAAAAGGCAAAGAAGTGAGATGAATTGGATTGAGCATTTGATATGCAAATGGAGTTTCGGGATGTGGATGTGGGTGTGGGTGTGGATGGCGCTTTAGGGAATTGATTGGGGGGAATGTATTCTGTATAGATACTTTGTAAGACTTACTTTATAATGGCTGCTATGGGAGGGATATGGATATGGATCTGGATCAATTGATCAAGGGGGATCTAGATACGGTTCAGCACCGCAATCTATGAAGATACCGAATGGAAAATATTCATTTTGCTAGATTAGCACGATTAGCTAGGTAGGTAGGTAGTTCTACATAGGTGGGTGGTTTAAAAAAATAGTTTCTGATAATGAAAATGCTTTGTTATAATGTGATATGATATGATATTCATGCCTGGTTAGTAAGTAGTGTATGCAAATGAATGAGCAGATAGATATAATAGATAGATATCTTGATACAAATTGGCAAGTGGAGTGAGTACTATAATATAGTTAGTATTCTGTATTTGTATTGTTTATATAATATTATCTAGATTAAATATAGTAGTTTAGTATATCTATACCTATATTTATATATACTACTAGTAGTATATTATTTAGTATTTTTTAAGACTTTTCTTTTCTTCTGATTTTCGATATATTTATATATATATTTATTAATAATTAGAGATATTAAAGTTAAATTCGAAAAAGTATATATAAATATAGCTTATTAGAAATTCGAGTCTATAAATAAAGTTTTATTTTTTAAAGAAGATTTATTAAAAAAAAAGAAAAAGAATAGTAAAAAAAAGTAAGAGGAATATAATTTTATTATTATAATAAATTAATTGATTAAGAATATAGATAATATAAAATAGTATAATCTGAGAAATAGTATAATACTAGTATAAATATAAATATAAATATAAAAAGTAAATAAAAAGAGATAAGAAGAAAAAAAGAAAAAAGAAAGAATATATACAAGTATGCTCGAGTATAAATATAAAGAAATAATAACTTGAAGTATACTAATTAGTACTTGTTAGTTTTGTATTGTAATCTATTGTATAGAGGAAAAGAGATAGAGAGAAAGAGAGGGATGAAGAGAGAGAGATTAAGAGAAGTATTGAGACTACTGGAGTATGTGTAGATAAATTGGATGTTAACATCTATAGCCAAAGAGAAGATGAATATATTGGAGATACTTCACTGGGTTACCAGTATATGTTAGAAATAGTTGTTTGGACTATTTGTATACAGATCTGGGTCGGGCTATGTACGGTAGGTATGTACTGTATATATACTGAGTAGATATACCAGTAAACCTGGAAGAGTAATGGAATTGTAATTCATCAATACGCCTGCATCCATGCCACCTTTGATATGTGTACACGAATTACAAACACCTCGCTCCAACCTATGCCAAAAAACCGAAACCCAATTTAATGTGTAACAAGAACGCTGTTCGTGGAGCAACATATACGGACTATCAGATCCGCATGAGCCTCCACTAAGCATGTATGTCACCAGCCGGCCATCATACCGCTGTCCACTTCCCGACGAAGTCTCAGAGTGTTGCGAATATATACTGTCTAGTTTTCGTTCTATTCCTTCGTACGTGATGTGGTTCTCCCCATCTTCTCTCGTGGTGTTTCGTAAAGAAGATACATCAGAGCCTGATATACACATCCACACATTCCAACCTCCACTCCCTCTTCCCTAGTAAATTTCTTAACCACTCCACCCCTATGCCCGTCCACTCCTTACTCGCCATTTTATTCTTCGCATCTTCAAATGCTGATCCCGCTAATGCTATTGCGGTTTTATTGAAGGCGCCGGCGTACATTAGAACGCTGTCGATAGCCTCATTTGAGAGGGCTGTGTGTTTGTTTATTTCTGAAGGGGAATAGGATGAGGAACGAGGCGAAAACCAGTTACTGCTGAAGTCGAAGAAGCAGTGGTCGGCCCAGTGACAGGAGGAGGCGAAGAGGATGAGGATAAGAATGGAACAGTAGACGCAAGGGCGGTTGAGGAAATAGGTGCAGATGAAGAAGAGGAAAATAAAGACTGGGGAGGCGTTGGTGGGGATGAAGAGGAGGGGGAGCCAACTATGAAGAGGGAGAGTTAGTTTGGTTAATAAGATATCCATCCACCCATTGATATCACTCCATACATTGATTGAAGATATTTTTGAGGTCCAGGAATCTGATGACTATCTGACATACCTTCTAAGACAAAACATTTTGTTGTAATTCTTAAATTGGCTAGGACCAAAGGTCGTGTCAATAGTGTGAAATTATGTGGTCATCCGGCAAGGGCATGCAATGGCCCTTTGAACATGCAAACAGAGGAAACAATTAAGGATTGAGGAGAAGCGCAAATCTGGTAGTACAAAAGTACTGTACTTTCGGAATAGGCGGTCGACAGGGGAAAAGGCGGGGAGAAGGGTCCCTTTTTATGTTGTATGAGAATTATGAGAAGGATGAGATGGATGAGATGGATGATTCCCCAGGTTATGCCGAGCAACTAGGTATCTGGCAATACGACTGGCTGACTGACTGACTGACTGTACTGATATGATATGATATGATATGATATCTTGTGATTTATTATGTATTTTCTCGCACTTGAGGTTCTATACATACCTATTCTCTAGTACAGCAAAACCTCGATATAAGGATATTCGATATAAGGATAACCTCGAATATAAGGATTATTTAAAAAGCCCGATTTCTTTTGGGTGTGAAAACAGGGTATATTAGGATAATCTCCCTATAGGGATATCCTTAGGTTTTGGAGGTCCCGAAATCCCTGTATATCCTTAATTTAAGCCTATAGGATAAGGATATTAGTTCACGTGATAAGAATTTAGGCCTATAGGATAAGGATCTGAGCTTATATAATCAGAATATAAGATCACGTGATAAGAAATTTGTTCAATATTGCTCTATCGGGATTAATCGGAGATCCATTGGGCCTAATCGGGAATTTGATATAAGGATATCTCGATATATTCTTATTTTAGGTGCTAAAAAAAGTATCCTTATATCGAGGTTTTGCTATACTCATACGAAGTACAGGTACAGACAGGTAGATAGATCTCTTTGCGATGGAAACGAAATGGACTAACTTTTTAGCGTACATTGGCGTCTATTATCCAATAATATCATCGAAATCAAATCTTCATACTTCAGACAAGGCAGGGAATCAGAGAAATAGGAAATAGTCCAAGCTTTCATTATTTTATATTTTGTTTTAGTAAAAAAGCGAATTGACTATTTAGCATATATTGGCGTCTATTATCCAATGATATCATTAGAATTAAATCTTCATACTTCAGACAAGGCAGGGAATTAGGGAATCGTCCAAGCTTCATTATTTTGTATTTTGTTCTAATAAGAAGCTTTTACTATAATATTTACGCGCTCACAAGTTGAAAATCGCCTCGTATCCGATCCTTCTTCAGTACCTAGGTATTATCAAAACAAACTCTACATACCTTCTACCTCAACCTCAACCTTTAACCTTTAACCTCTCATCTTCACTCACCTCTCTTCCATAACTTTCATCAAACTCTTCATTTCGTACTTCAACATTTGATCTGCCAATTATTTCTGCTGTTATTGAGGACAGTCTCTACCTTGTACTTGTTTGCAAGATTAGAGCTGTCGTCGATCGCTGAAAAAAGTTGTCGGTTATCTTCTTTTCATCTTCTTTCTTCAACAAGTCCTTTCGTTACATACTCAAAAACTTTCTTCTCGATTTTGATCGATTCCATTTAATCTTCTTTCAAAATATTGCGCCTTTCAGTGCGCTTTTATCTTTGTCATTATGTCTGGATATCCGACAGGTTCTGGTGGTAATGATGGCCGTGGTTTGGATTCTCTCTTTGCTCAGCTTCGACAACAGCAGAATCAATCTGCTGCTCCTGTTCATTTAGAGCCAAGTTATAATTATTACAATAATAACAATAACAACAACAACGGCTTCTTTGGTCAAAATCAACAATTGCCTACCCATTATCAACAGCCTTCCGTATCTTCGCCACTTCCTACCCCTCCTGTCCATGGTCAACAACCTCACCATAGTCCTGCTATCATGAGTCCTGTCGATATTCAACATGCACAACCTCGCCTTGCCAACCCAGTTGGTACCACATCCAATGATAATCGTACTTCAAGCTTACTCAATTTGTTGAAGTTCAGCCAAACTTCTGCTAGCAGCAAGTCAAACAACCAGGCAGCACCGATCGGCACACCACTCCCTCCATCCCGCGAGTCGTCCATGAACTTTGGTGGAAACTCCGATGTTCTTGGTCAAGTCAGCGTCGGTAACCGTGGTGGACAAGATCTTCTTGCCGCACTTATGGGAGGAGCACAACAAAAGCCAGTCTCGGTCCCACAAATGACTCAAACAAGCCCGCAATTTGCGAATGCTTCTCAACCACAAGCGAACTCCAGCTTTGCAGCTGCGAATTCTCCACCTGCCGATACACAGGCTTATCTTCTTCGTCTTCTGAACCAACCGAAACCATCTCAAACTGGCAATGAATCGCCACATTTGAATACTGGCAAGGTGTTGACCCCACCAAGTAAAGCTAGTTCTTTGGATGACGTTGGTGATTTGGCACAAACTTTGGAGGACACAAAGATTGATGTGGATATGACTGTGATGGGCTCCGCAGCTTCCGAGGGGAAGATTGATAGACCATTCGGCAAGGAGAATACACGAGAGATTACTCCTCAGCCAAGAAACAACCAGGGCTTGTTTACCTATGTTAATCCTTTCGAGGAGCTAGCAGCATCTTCTCCACGCAATCGTACCCCAAAGGTAACCGCAGCTGGACCATCAAACTCAAATATCTCTGCACCTGCGTTTCAGATTTTGAAACGACAAGAATCGACAGATAACAAGCGCAAGATGGACGAGAGAAGCAATGTTGATAGTCCTGCCCAGGTATTTTCTAAGCGTAAGCTTGAATCTCCTGCTGTATCCTCCGGACCTCCCACACCACTTCCTGATGGACGTACTCAATTGGAGGCTCTAATTGGAATTGGTGCTTCAAGTCCTGCTGCAAACGGCAAAGACAAGGAGACTGTCAGTCATGCACTTGAAGAGGTGGGCGATGCCGTCGATCACCAAGTTCAAGAAGCTTTGGCTCGTGCCGAGGAAGAGGCAACTAATGCCGAAATCGAAAAGGACTTACGCAACATGCTCGCTGCCAAAACAGAGACACAGTTCGAGGATCGTGCACAGGTTACTGCGGCGGCTATCAAGAAGGTGCTTGACAAGGACGATACTGTTCTTGATGGTTTGCCTAGTCCAGTTGCTGATGAAGTCAAAGAAATTATTGACGACGCTGCACACGGTCACATTGCAGACAGCTGGGAGAGTGCAGATGCTGAAGATTCTCAGCCCAAGTACGACGAAACCGTCATCAAAGTTTTCAACTTTCCTATGAAGCCATGGACCTCGATCACTATTAAAAATAGTGAAGAAGGTCGTCCTATTTTCCGTGACGAAATCATCATGGACATTGCTCGTCTCAAGAAAGAATTCGACCAAATTGATCGTACTCTAGTTACTGCATCTTCAAACTTTATTGTTTATGGTATGTCAAAGAACGGAGGTATACGTATCATTAGACAGGCTGATGGCAAGGATTCTCGACTATTCACCGAGACTCATGATCGTATCTTCAATGTATCGACTTCTAGTGCTCCAGCGGATCTCAAGGAGACTATCATTGGTACAGGTATTAGTGGCACAGTTTACTGGGCTATTGTTAAGGACGGCGAAGGAGATTTCATTGAGGAAAACCATCCTGAAATGCATGGTTTTGCTCTCCCTCCCATTCAAACTCCTGACAATGAGTCGGCGGGCGGTGTTCTCAAGACCAGAGCTAGAAAGAGCTCCAACCATCCTGAATTCTTCGCTGTCGGACGCGGAAAATCCATTCAGATCATCTATCCATCTGTTATCATGAAGAACTCTTTCCTGAAAAATGGAAAAGAGCGCATTGTTGATACAGATCGTTACCTCGCCCATAGATCTCTCAAGGTCAATACCGGCAAGGCGGGCAAAGACTTCACATTCAGTGAGGATGATACAACTATCGTTTCACTCGACAAGGCTGGACGAGTCAAATTCTGGGATGTTCGACCTCTTACCCAGATTCCAGAAGATGAGCTTCATCAAAAGGCTCCCCCCGTTGAGATCAAAGAACCACTTACGACTCTCATCACAACTCCAGCAACTGAGAAGTCATGGCCAACTTCGGTACTTTTCGTTGATAAGCTTCGTCCTTATCAAAAAGGTGGACCATTGCGATACATGATTGTTGGTATGAAACAAAATCATACTTTGCAATTGTGGGATCTCGCATTAGGTAAACCTGTTCAGGAAATTCACTTGCCTCACAGCAAAGAATCAGATGCCGTTTGTAGCGTCTTGTACCACCCTGCAACTGGTGTTATTGTCGTTGGACACCCTACGCGAAATTCTATTTATTTCCTCCATCTTTCTGCTCCTAAATACAACCTTCCACGCACTGTCACACAAGCAGAATACGTGGAGAAGCTCGCAAACAACGACTCGAGTGTTTCTAAGCCAGATTCTACTGCTGTCGTTAGTGGCATGAGAGAATATTCATTCGCTAGCAAAGGTAATCTTAGAAGCTTGGACATTTTACAAAATCCTGCTTCCCCACCCGCTCGTGGAGAACCGATCACCTTGTTTGAGTTATATGCTATGCACTCAAAAGGTGTTACCTGCCTCAACATCAAGCAAGCCGATCTAGGTTGGGACATCAACAACAAGTGTATTTCTGCAGTTGTTGCTGATAGAGTCGGTGCTGTCACTATCGATATATTGAAGGAGATTAATACCGCGCCACCTGCAACGCCATCGGAAGTAAGTGAACCAGCACTTGAGCCTTCACCCGCACCAGTCCCTACTCCTACCCGAATTATCCAACGCCCAGCTGCGAAAGACAATACTTCAAAGGAAACAAAGAAGGCTGTACAGGCAGAGCCATCTTCTTCAGTACCCAAAGCTGAAGAGAAGGCTGAGAAGAAGGAAGTTCCTGCGGCTCTTGCCAATGGTAGTTTAGCCGGCGCTAGTGGAACAGACAACAAGGCTGAGAAGAAGAAGCGACGAAAGGCGAACTCAAGTTCCGAGGGCCAAGCAAATTCTTCCCAATCCAAAACCATCGCAACAGACAATACTTCAGCACCAAGAAACGGCAGTGCCCCTCGCGCAAACATGACTACCATCCCAGATGTCGGTATCTCTTCAAGCTCCTCAACAACTAGCTTGACGGAAGACGTTCTTAAGGATATTGAAGGTCGCGTTTCTGGAGAAGTGAAAAAGTTACTCGACGATTCCTTCAACATTTTGGATCAAAGAATTAAGGATGACAGGCGTACTCAAAACGCTGTCTCCGATGCCAAGCAGGATGCCGTTCTTCGTCTTGTTTCTAGCACTCTTACTGGAAACATGGAAGAATCATTGAAGCGCATCGTCAACGGAGCTTTGGAAAATTCTATCGTCCCTGCCATCGAAAGTATCACCTTGAAGACTGTCGATCAACGAGTTACTCCAGCTCTTGCTAATCACTTGAACCAAAGCTTACCAAGAGAATTGCAAAAGATTCTTCCAGATGCTGTCAACAAGGTTATGCAACAGCCTCAGCTTCTGAAGTTGATGTCAGAAACCTTGGCAAAGAGTGTCTCTTTTCCTTTCGAAGAGCAATTCGCTACTCTCTTGAACAACAGCATCGCTCCTGCCTTCACTCAATTGGCAGTCAACGCTTCTCAGCGTGTCGCAGCTGATGTTCACCGCCAAGCTCAAGAACAGATCGGTACTATTGAACGTCAACGTCATGCCGACAGCCTTAAGATCGAACAATTGACTCAACTTGTTACTGGGTTGACAGAGACCATTTCATCCATGGCAGCTGCTCAATCTGAATTCCAAGCTCAATTCTTGCGTGTCCAGCAAAGAGATAGACAATCATCTTCTTCTCACCGTGCTAGCCCAGGTTTAGGTCACAACTCTAGCAGACCATCTGTTTCTTCGGCGCTCGCAGCTGCTCCTATTGTTGAGGAGAAGTCGCCCCAAGAAACTGAGTACGAGGAGATGTTCAAGCATATTCAAGGCCCTATGAGCGAGGGTAGATATGAAGATGCTGTTGTCCGTTGGTTGCAAACTGGTAGAGAGCAAGAGTTCTTCGCAAGATACTTTTGCAGATTTTCTCCAAAGTTTATCACAGAGCTCAGCCCACTTCTACTACTCAGCCTTGGCGCTATCATCACCATTGAGTTGACTGATGATCTTATGAATCAACGTCTTGCCTGGACTGAAACCATCTTGAACTCCTTCCAGATCAAGATGGTTAGTGGATATCTTGTAAGTCGTCCTATGCAATTCTGGTTGTATTGTTTGTTTACTAATATTACTTGTAGGAGGATCAGGTTGCCGATCTTGTTCCTAAGATCATGAATATCTATATTCAACGCCTTGAACACCTGTTCATGCGCATCACCAACGTCGCTCCTTCCGACCCTCTTCTCAAGCAACTCTCTCAAATGGTTACGACTGCCAATCGCATTCTTGAGCTCTATCGTGAGCGACCATCTTCTCGTCATATGGCCGGCTTTCCTCAATGAGAGCGTCCTCGGCATCACGAATAATAATATCATACATACTCCCGATATCTTTTTGCTTGGCCATCTGCGAATGTCTCATTCCAATGGCAATTACATTTTCTCCACTTGGGCATTCTCTAGTTTTCTAGTATGCTTATTAGTCTGCCAAATATCGAACACTGTTACGGTCTTTTCGCGAAACCAGCATTGGCTCTTGAGGTACTGGAATGTTCTCAGCCTTGCTATCCATCGATCTTTTAATCTGCGGATCTTCCGGCTTTTGTCCATAAAACCTTTTTCTTTCTTGACTTTCTTTCACATTATCTTTTTGTGCCAATATCAGCGAAAAAATCGCGCTTCTGCGTATGTCTTCTACTACCTAGATTCTCTGGCGCATGAGCGACATACAAAACACTATCTGGTTATGAAAATTTCATATTTTGGTCAGTGGGGAGCTATAGGCTGGCTTGGGTTGCTGAAAAAGATTCTCTAATGGCTGTTCTGATCTTACGATATGATACCATTGGGAATTTTTATGGGGTTTTTCTTTTCTTTCCTGAATAATATCGTATGTGAATGGGGGGAGGAAAATGAACGATAATTATGGAATGGATGAATGGATGGATGCATTTTCATGCGACCCTGGCTTACCTTGGCCTTGATTTGGCTTGATCTTCGATTAAATTTGAAGACATTGCGGGATATACCCTTGACGGCCTGAATGGAATGATTGTGGTGAAGCTTCAGTTGTGTGTACTTTAGACTCGGAGAACTTCTTTGAAGGCTTCGAGAAAAGTTATGATAATTAGGCTGGTGAAAAATATGCATTGCATTTATTTATATGTGTGTGTCTGAGTCGAGATGCGAATGAAACTGAGTGAAGTGATGTGGACAGCACCAACTTTTGTCTTGACCCAGTAAGTGATGTCGGAGGCATAGTAAAGACCGATGAAAAGGGCATAGAATGAGATATGCAAATGCACTGCACTCAAGGTATGTAAAAGTGTTCCAAGGAAAATTATTCCTAGAGGATCACAGCAATCGGTTGACAAGGTCCCGTCTAGGGAGTAAGGAGTAAAGACATAACATCAGGTTAATCACCAAATCGACTCTCTTGGCGAGATATGCTCTCTCTCTCACCAAAGGTTGAACATGTTCATGTACATACATGTACTTCTAATATTCCAATACAGATATGATGTACTCGAGTATCATATATGTGATCTTGTCATAGTACGGGAAAGTAGGAGTAAGAAGTAAGCTGGAGGAAGGGGAGAGATGGGGTTAGGGTTGTTATATATATATGTTTATATGCATATTTGGAGTCAAGTTGTTGTTTTGTGTTGAGAGGGGAGGAGGAGGGGAGGAGGAGAAGGAGAGGAAGGGGGAGAGATGGACGGTGATAGATGTAGAGTATAGTGTTTAGGGTGGGGTAGTGTGTTATGTTATGTTAATGGATGGCTGGCTGGCTGGCTGGCTAGCTAGCTTTTATTGTCGCGGTTGCTGATAGAGAGTGATGGGTGTTTGGAGGGGTCGATGGGAGGGTGTTGGTGGTGGGTGGTGGTGGGTGGTGGTGAATTTTCTGGGATTAGGAAGAAGCTGGAGGGGAAAGAGGGAGGAGGGGATGATTGAGAAATACAATGGCGGGTTCTTGCCAGTGTGGCATTTTTTTATTGGGGTTTGGGGTTTGTGGTTTGTGGTATGAAGTTTGGAGTAACAGGGAATTACGATATCGTTCTTTTGAGAGGGCTATGGGGCCGTGACTGTTGAGACGGGTTTGCGTGGGTTACTGTATGGGTTACTGGATTCATATACACGAAGAACGATCAGCTAATTTAGAGGTTTTGGGGAAGAAATGAGACAAATGGGAGAGACAATGGGAAGTTGGAGGGATGAATCATGGGAGGGATTCATGAATGACGATGGAGTGCTACTGAAGGAATTAAGAGGTAGAATAGAGAAGTCATGGAATGAATATTTAGTTAATTATCGAGTAGTGAGATTAGTCAAACACTACACATCATGAGTTCCAAGTGTCGTATACAGCACTTGACTTGGAATGAATTGTTAAGCCTTCCTACTTTTCTTAGCTTTCTTTAGTATAGTGAATGGCACCAGCTTCACAACATCTGATCTACTCGACAAGTCAATACGATCCAAAGTAAATGAACCAGTCCAATTAAGTGATTGGAACGTCCCAGTGATTGATGGATAGGAATCAACTGGATTAGCTGATACAGTAGTGTACATCGCATCCAGTATATTTGATGAAAAGTATATTCTCTTCTGGAACTTTGGGGAGTAGTTTCATTGCCAACAAGTTATAACAACCTTTCTCTCAATACACTAGCATCAATGATAAAAGGTTTCTTTTCCCAACTCAAGATATGTATCACAAACTTCCGATTCCCGTTCTTCCCCTATGTATATATACGTATCCCCCAATCCCCAATCCCCCTAAGCGAACCAAGCAAGCGTGCTCGCGGGGGCTGAAAAGGGTTACATCGCTCGCACCGCAATCGAAGGAGTCAGCCGGAATATTTCAGAATCCTTACCCAATCCATTTCATCTATATCAGGAGAGAATAATCGGGGATTAATCATTGTCACATCATTGGACGCGGCGAAGTCTTGGCTTCATGTATTGGACTCTGGAAGGGCTGATATACATATCATTGAGTGGGGTATCGAAAGCCTCGTTTCCAGAAGAGGAAGGTGTGTGTGGAGAAGTAAGTATTGGTAGTTACTTGTGAATCTGTCTGTGATCCGAAGCAAGGTCGCGATTGCAGAAAAGAAAGGAACTGTGTTTACTTGGAGGAAGGTTCGTAAAGGCCTTTATTTTCGTGACCTTATGATATCTCATTTCCAGAGCATCATTTCCAAGATATGAGTATTGTCTGATGACAACCGATTCCCACACCAAATCTAAACCTTACTCTGCTCTGCCCGAGTAATAATAAGCACATCAACACCCCACAGCCCTGTCCAGACCAGACCATGACATCCACCTCAATAATTCCCCACAACCCCACACCTCCCACACCTCCACCCACGCCATACCATTCCAGCCCCGTACCTCCAATCCTAAAAGCCTTCCCGCAGACCTCGCGCCTTACGCCTCGCGCCTCAATACCACCTTATCCCCTCCTCCATTTCCACAAAAACCCCGCTTCTATCCACTTCTCGATTGAAAAGGATTGGAGATGTTTGTTTGTTGCATATCGTATTTTGTGGGCCGTGACACCTGTGTATATTATGGCTTGCTTGTGGATTGAACTGGGGAGCTGAGGAGTTGAGGAGCTGAAGAACTGAGAGGTGGTGAAGTGAGGCTAGATGGAGCCTAGAGTTATTTTTGGATTTTGAGTTTCCCGTAGAACTAGAAATAGAAATAGAAATGAGGTCTAGATTCCTTTTCCTGTGAATGAAATTAATGTTGCACGTCTGTGTTCAGATCCACTTCGATGGTTTTATGGATTATGTGGAGGAAGTAAGCTGACAAGTGAAGACTATGTGGGTATTGACAGAGATAGTTGTTACTTGGGGCGAGTAAACAAAACTGATTACTTTTTCCCTCGAAGTGTTGTATGTCTGAGTCTAGACTTGTTCGCTAGATATTGCGGGGAAAGTATAGAGTTTCTCGATGGTATACTCGATATACCGGTAGTTTTGGGAAGAGTGAAAGATATCTGAGTGATGAAAGCTTGAGCAAGATAAGGCTGATACATGCGGAGGTGGCGTGGTGTATTTTACCGAGGTTTAAAGCCACAGCGGTAGGGGTGTGGCGAGCATATTCCAGGTAAGATCTTACATTGTGAAATTGATCAATTACAGTTACAGTTACAGTCACGCGTGGAAAATGGTTTGATTCTTGCATTTCCCATTTCAGTGTGGGGGTACAAGTTACTGTACAGCCAATTCATTATTAGAACATTGCTAGAGAGAGACTTAATGAGTCCCAGTCTCTTTACTCATCACCCTCATGGTCGTGCTCGTGTGCGTGTTCAACTTCCCAATCAAGAGAAGTTTGAACCTTCCTTAATCATTCTACTCTAACTTGCGTTACATCTCATACTTGGGACAGCTCTTTCATCCCCATTATAAGTAGTGATTAAAAGTATATCATTGGGCGTGAACCCTTTGTTTCCCAAAGCCATATTATAGCTTTTTGATGAAACTTCCGTACTGAACTTGTTCTTTCCTTCGAGTCGTTGGAAGATAAATGATGATTCCCCCGTTGCATTTGTTTTGGATCGAATTTTTAATTGATCCATCCTATGAGTCTCTCCGTAAATACAGTTCGTTATCCAGTATACCCGAGTCGAGTGATTCAAGAAATAATTTGAGATATAGTAGGAAAGGTACGATGGAAGAGAGGGAAAGGAGGACTTGAGAGGCAATACGTAAAGTCTATGCGTGGAGGATGTGATCTTGCGAGTGCTTAGCTATGATGAGAAGGACTGTTGCACCGACAAGAGCACCAAAGATTGAGAATCAGTTTGTGCTGATTGTATGTAGATTGAAACATCATTGGGAAATGAAGACCTACAAGTCTCAAGACCCGAAGCGGCAAAGTATGGCGAACTTTTACGCTCAACGGACCCCCAATTGCAAGTTCCATAAGATACAGAAAGAAAAGAAAGTCAAGTGAAGTATAATGTTACCTCGAAACAAAGTTCAGCCGAATAATATACCAATTAGTAGCCGTTTTAGTTGAGGAGTATTCGACGATCCCCCTTTACCTCTCCTTGGCCTCCAAGCGCTAACCGAGTTTTTTCGATTAGGCCCAAAATCAACATGCATCTTCTCAAGAAGCCTGCGGTGGCTCTACCCATCATATTGACAGTGGTAGTCGGTATGGCTCTACTAATCACCAACTTGAAGTCATTCGTCCGGACAGGAATGACAAGTTATCAGAAATCCTTCCGCCAATTTCGATGCTGGAATCCACAATCCCGACGTCTTCTTGAGGGTGGACATCTTGTGTCTCCCACTTCCAAGTCGGCTTGTACTGTAGATAAACAGTCCACCAATCGATTCATGATGTTGGGAATACCAGTACACACAATGTTGCTACCTTTCTTCAGCATCGAAGACTTTCAAAAGACTTGAGTTTTCAAGCATCAAGCTCATATTCAATATGAAGGGAAGGCAGAAGATGCCACCACGAAGCTTCAGATAAAAAAATTTCCCTCACCTTATCCTATAGCTCTTTTCCGCCGCCCTAGTCTTGTCATTACTAGAAAGAGTCATCATTCACTCTTTGACTTGCATTTCACGTTCCACGGCATACCTTCACTCTTTGCAAGAACAACCCTCGTTTTCTACGCTCGAAACCCTCTTTTCTGGTCAAAGTTCCATTCACTCATTCGAGGATCGACTTCTTCGAGTCTGCTATTGTACGCTTGCTATCTTTGAAAACCTGTTTCTGGAGTTATCGAATCGATCTTTTTTCTTTAGATAAATACTCGTTGGTCAGAATCCAATCGGAAGACAAAAGTTTCATTTAAAATGCCACCTCATTGCTGATAACCCTTCGTGGGTTTTCAAATACTTTTCAATTATTACCATCCCATAATACCAGAGGTTTTTGTCAAAGAAGTCACCACTAAACATAAATTTGGTCAGATTATCCAGTTTTTCTGGGATGTCTTTCCCGATCCATACACTCTATTCACCAACATCATGTTTCCAGTCTTTAGAAACACAGAAGAATTTCAACCCTGTGTCACCATATCCAAATAGTTTCTATGAAAAGGACATCTCAGAGATTTTCCTTCGAGCTATTGGATCTAGGTGGTAGATGGTGATGGAAAGGTCCTTAGCGGTGGCAATTAGACTTTTTATAAGGATTCATCTTTCATTAATGAACTTTCAATTTTGAGACTGTGTGGCATCCAGCAGCCTCGCAGGTGAAGCGATGGAAGAGACTTAGCAAGTAGGACTGTGAATGAGATTTAGGGTCTGAGGGGAAAATGTTAGTTGAGACTATATGCTCGTAAGTGATCTAGAAACTCTAAAGACACAGCATTTTACGGTTATCGAAACACTTAGTATAGCTAGCAGCCAAAATGGATTTAGAAATTGCAGTTGAGGCGAATGGAGTATATCCATGATATTTTACGGTAATTACCTTCTAACCCTCATCAACAATGAAAGTTCCACAATTTTCAATGAACTTTCTCTCTTGTCCTATCTGTGTTTATGACATTCTAGGACATCTCGGCTATTTTTCTCCTCCACCATCGCTGCACCGTTTCCGTTCACTCTCTCTCTGATGCTGATGATACAATCAACTCTGATATATCTACCGAGAAACTTGTCTGAGGTCCTTGGAATTTATCGGGTGTATTGAGTATTGCAAAGGTATCTTTGCCTGCATGATATCTCCCGATAATTGTATTTCTTGATTTCTTTTCCTCCTCCCTCGACTGTCACGCTGCAAATTATGACTTGTAGTGTTCTGGTGTTTGGGAGCATTTTCGTTCTTTCTTCAATTATATTACATCGCTTGGGCTAGAAGCTATATACTGGCCCTTTTGTGGAAGTTTAGATGTATGTAAAATAGTCTAGAACATATGAAGCTACTCGCACATTTCTGACCTTTGAAGATATAAACACCACTAACACTCTTTGATATTTTTGTATGTAATCTTACCAAGCCTTCAAATTCCAGCGCATGTATTATCGAGAGCCAAAAATGGAAGAGAGTTGATTACCAGTGCGAGGATTTTAGTAAGTGAAATCACTGATCAGTATATTCATGTATTAAGATTGATATAATGCAAAGAACAAAAATATACAGCCGAAAGTCTTATAGAGCCCCTGAGCGAGTAGCTGTAGCCCTGACTTGAATGTCTGCATCATCATATTGGGAATATTGGATAAACAGGTAGCATTTGATTCAATACCGCAGTAGGAGTGGAGACTCTGTAGTTCGGGTTCTTCATATATGGAAGTCTTGCCATCGCAACGGTCGTATGTGCTGTGGCCGACATAATCATTGGCAAGCCGTTAGCATTTCCAGATGAGGATGATGCGAGAGCCATTCTTGTATCGTTCGGCGGTAAAGCGAAGCTTGCCCACTCGGTATCTATCCAGATGGATGTACTATGACAATAAACGGATATCGACATATAAAGTCATACTCAAGGCGCTTACAGCCCATAGCTCCGGCCTAAAAGTAATCCAAGGTCGGCGATTCGGAGAGCAATAAGAAAGCCCCAAAGGGGTGTTCTTGAATAAAAGATAGGATTGTTGACGACAAAAGCTCCAGCACGTATCTTGTTTACTTGAGCCATGAATTGCAGTCCGGTGAATCGAGTGTTGAAATCCGCAATAAACCTACATATCGAGGTTGCGTACAGCCTAGAAGCATTCAGGAGTAGCAAAACCTAAGTCAGCATGATAGGTACAGTCAGATATGTACATCAGATGGTTTCCACCTTCCAACCGATAACTAGCTTCGATCTTTCAGCTTGTTTCTTGGGGATTTAAAAAGTAAAGAAACGAGTTCAAATGACCCGAAAGGTCAGAGAAGGAATAGCAGGAAGTTTATCGTATCCAGACTTCTTCCTTTGATCACTTACTGAATTGTGACTTTTGTATAGCCATGAAAGTCATATTAGACGCAACCGAGGAATGGTGGTGTATTAGTATATGCACCATGCATGCCTTATGGCCAAACTCCCACAATCGAATCCATAGATCCAGCAAAGCTATGAATCCACATCCACAAGCTATCTTATGTATGTGCCAAAGGGCACATCAAACTGTGCGACTACACATATCCTGACTGTGCGAGCGACGGGGCCAAAGAATCTTGCGATTCGAAACGCCTAACCATGAGAGGCTCATCAAATTGATTCAATTTCGACCATCTGGAATAGTTGGAGGAGCTCTTTCCACTGTCTATCTATATGTCATCGGTATTGAAGCAGCGTTCATATAAGGGACAATCTGATCATGAGTGCCTCTACAAGGAAGAGCTAGCAGTCGGCGCACTTGCGGATCTATACACGAATCTGGACTTCACGACCGAATTCATTGTAGTGTAAAGAAAGGTATACTGCTGACTATCCGAGAATACCTCTCGATTCTTTAGCCATTGCATCTTCATCTGGAGTGCTTTGAACTAATTCATACCAACGTGACATGTATTAGAGTACACAACATGTTATGTATCCAATCAGAATTTGTCCGAACAAACTACTCGGGTAGATCTTCTGAATCTTAACAATACTCGTGTGAAACTCCTTTATAATAACCGAAAAGGAAGTACCGTACACAAGCTTAGCGGTGAAAATATACAAAATCGCGGGGGTACGCGGGGCTCGCAGGGAGCGCAGGGTGCACCCCGAACGGCCCAAGGTTCAAAGCTTCTGATATCCGATCTCATAGCTAGGAGCATCGATACCGGTACTATATATGCTGTGCTGTGCTGTGCTGTGCTGTGTGTGCCTGTTACGAGACCCTGATCTGCAAATAGTGTAAACGGTGAGAACATGGTTATGTTATCCGCACTGCTTGAGTATGAGGAGAATTGATGCCGTTCTTGTGAATACTGATCGATAGGCTTAACGGTACAACGCAGCAAAGACAACGTCGGTGGCTCATCAAAGACTTGAGAAAGGCTGTCGGTTTCTTGATAGCATTTCTTACTATCCGTCCGTGTTAATATGTTAATATACTCGAGTAGTATCACAACCATTCAATGTCAAGGTCCGAATTGTCATTGTCACAATCCCATCTCACCTCCCCTGTCACCACCAACCAATGAACATCCCAGCTCCAGCCCAAAAGCTATAGGATGGAGCTAGATCCCTACCCTACCCCAAATATCGCATCTTCTTAAAACACTTCACCGCCCCGTCCAACCACCACAAACCACGATCACCTCTCCTTTCACACTCCTCTTTTTCTTCACCCTTTCTCCTCTCATCTTTCATCTGGACCCATTATATACCGGTACTTATTCGAGATACATACATACATACATACAACATATCTGCATTATCTGCACCACATCCACATCCACATCCACATCACATCATATCAAATCAAATCCCCAATCCAAACCACGCACCAAAGAAACCCAAGTTCCCGCCCAAATGGAGCGATACCCCACCCCCCCATCAACCAGCTCCCCCAATCTCCACGACCACGCCCAACACGACAGCCCCAACAACTCCCGACAACGCAACTCAGCTCCACAAGGAACCAGCGAACCATATCCCTACCTCCCACACCCACACCCCGACATCGACACAACCCACCACGACAAAAGATCCACCATAAATTCCTCCTTCACAAACGCATCCACCATCGTCCCCGCCTCAACCGAAGCATACCAAACCACCAGCAAACCACCGCTCGATTTCTACGGCATCACATCGCAAGATGCATCATACAATATTCCTCCCCGACAAGCTAGTTTCCCCATCCCCAACCCCAACCCCGTCCCCGATCTCTTCAATGCCAAAACTTCGCTAGATCCTCGCGCGAAAGGTTACAGTTATAGTGATAACACCAATAGCCAAACAATTCCTCATCGACCAGCGCAAGAAACCTATTGGCAAACAACTTCCGACCCCGTCTCCCCCTCCACCCAAAACCAAAACCAACCCCAAAATCAACCTCAACACCCTTACACCGAACAATTTAACCCTGCCTACCCCAGCCACCCTGGTCCCCCTCCCCGCCGCTCCAGCTCCCCAATTCCTTACATGCATCCCTCCACAAGCGACACAAACCCCAACCCAAACTTCAACCCAAACCCCTACTACAACCCCCCACACCAAACCTCGCAACCATATCCCAATCCCCAACCTCAACTCTATCCCAACCCCCAATCGCAATCCCAACCTCCATCCTACCCCACCCGCCGACGCTCCTCCCCCATCTCCACCCACATCCCCAACCGCCTAAACTCCCCAACCAAACCCTACTCCCCCTCGCGCCCCAAGCCCCGCCCCGGCCTCCTCAAACGCCTAACCCAACGCCTCAAATCTCTCCTCCGTTCCCTCCTAACCTGGATACGCCACAACCCCATCAAAACCAGCCTTCTCACCTTCATCCCGCTACTCCTCGGCGCCGGCGTCGTCAAGACCGTGCGCGGAGTAAAGCGTTTCCTCGGAACACGCGCTTCTAAAAACAAGGAGCGCAAACGCAAACATAAACTTGGAGGACTACGTAATGATGCGAAGAAGATGGAGAAGAAGTGGCACGAGGAGGTATTTGGGGACTTCAAGGGATTTGCGGGGTCTAAGGGGGGCCCGCTAGATGGGTTTTTGAAAATTATGCATATGTTGGTGTGAGTACTTATTTCTTTTCTTGTTATATACTCCGTCACAATCCCCTTTCTCTTGAACTCCTGGACCTCGAAGCGCCAATGCGCTTCTTCCTATTTCCTTGTACCCAATCCAGATATTCTCCAACCCATAACCCATAATCTATAAATCACCAGCCCTCATCAACTCCCCCCAAACCCTCCCCTACACTCTATCCTAACACTCCAACCCACAGAAACCACTACTGCAAACTCACACCCTCCAACATTCCGCGCGCGGCCTCCATCCTCCTCGAGCTCTATTTCCTCGATATGAAAAATCTCTAGGCTGTCCAATTCAGTCCAATCATCATTATTATTATAATGCCTTTCATTCCCTTCTCATTCCCTTTATCTTTCCTTTCTATTCAATCTCCTTTCCCTTGATTTCCAATTCCCATATATGTAAACCCATATCTATACATCCAATATCATATCATGTTTCCTTCCATCTATATCTATATCTATATTACGATCCAAATGCATAATGCTGGCAGGACGGAGTTGAACAATAGTACCTGACCTGTATATACCTCTCGACGAATTAATGAATGAAATGACCACCAAAATTATATAGAAACATATCTCGCATCTCTCTGTTCTATGTAATTCATCCCGTGCTGTGCTGTGCCGTGCCGTGTTATAAGAAACCCCAATTCATGTTTATGCTCATGCTCGTTCCGATCCAATCCTTGAAAATTCCCGATTGTGGTTTTGATAAAAAAAAATATATGATGGTGATAAAAGAGTGAAAATGTGAATGAAATTGGACTGGAAAATTAGATGATTCCGTTTGGTGTACTCTCAATCGAAATATGCGTCTTCGAAGTGTTCTTGGTCGAAGAATTCCTGTAGGGAGTATCTGCATTAGATGTATCTTTATTTGAAATACCCGTATTAGAAGTGTCCTTATTCAAAGTACCTTTATTCGAGGTCCTCGAATCTGATGTGCTCGTGTTTTGTGAAGTCTCATTCGAAGTACTGTTATTCTTGTTCGAGATACCTTTACTAGAAGTATCCTCATTCAACGTCCTCAAATTCGAAGGACTCGTATTCGGAGTAGTACCCTTATTTGAAGTATTCCCATTCAAACTGGGAGTATCAATCCCACCATCGGAATGTTGTCTAACAAGTCTCTCGATTTGTTTGAGCATATCTTGTATACGATATGGTTTCGTCGTTACATCGTCCATGCCCGCATCGATCGTGCTCATGATTTGATCTGCACCGAATCGTTGGCATTGGCATCAATTCCAGTTGCAAGTGCAAAGGTGGACATAGCGAAAGAAGACTCACCTTTTCGCGCATTAGCCGTAACGGCAATAATCGGCACATGTCCCGCTATACTCCCCTCCGCCTCCCACTTTCGGATCTGCTTTACGCAGGTAGTACCATCCATAATGGGCATTTCTAGGTCCATTAATATGAGATCAAGTTGCTTTTTCTGGATTTATGAACGTGTTAGTGGATGTTCACTTCGTTTCCAGAGTCCCCCAACAACCCATACTTCCGACGTCCACTCTATTCCTTAATTCAAATTCCAAGAAAGATCCGAAGGAGGACGAGAAAAACATACCGATTTCCTCTCATCACCACCATTCCTCCCAGCATCCCCAACCCAAAACCGTGTCCCTTTAAGAAAGTCCAAAGCTTCACCCCCATGATTCGCAACGCTAACACCAAACCCCTCTTTCCTCAAACTCTTAACCAAAACCTTTTGATTCAACAGATTATCCTCCACAACCAGCACGTTTAATTGTTCCTGGTCCTTTCCTCCCTTCTTCGTTCCATTATTCAACCTCGAAACACGCAATCTAGAGCTCCTCTTTCTGACCGGCAGTGGTCTCATCGGTAACTTCAAAGCATCCTGCTTCGTCACAGTCGTCTTACCCGCACAATTACATGAAGGGTTATCATGATTCAAATCAGGCATTTCAAACCCACACGCCTCTCTCAATGCATCTTCCCTCAACGTCATCTGAAAATCCTTGGCGATACCCTCTTCCGAATCCTTCATATCAACCGGAGCCGTTGTCCTCCTCGTCTTGACATAAAATTGAAAGGTGCTGCCCTTTCCACGTTCACTATGAACCCCAATTTCACCCCCCTGCATCTCGGTAAGCTGTCTCGAGATGAAAAGTCCCAATCCGCTACCCCCATATTGCACATGTGTTTTCGGAGATGCCTGCATAAATAGATGAAATAGATTTGCCTTTTCTTTTTCCGAAAGGCCGCGGCCGGAATCGGTGACTGTGATCGATAGGTAAAGAATTTCGCCATTTCCCCATTCACCTTTGAAGGTTTGATCAGAGCTTTCCCGACGCTTGGGTACATATTCCACAATGGTTTTCTGAGAGGAAGGTTTTTCGAGGGAGGCGGCCATTGTGACGGTTATCTGACGGAGTTTCTCTGTGCGGGTGAATTTTATGGCGTTGGTCATAAGATTGAGAAGGACTTGTAGCACTCGACTTGGATCTAATAAGGTCCAATGCACTTTGAGTTCTTTAATAGAATCGGCTTGGATAAAATCAAGTTTTGTGTCGGCTTGTTTGAGTTCTGATTCGAACATTTTAAGAGCGCTATTGATAATTTGGACTGGCTGAGAAGCTTCGGGGGATACGACAAGAAGATTGGTGTCTAATCTTGAGAGGGTCAAGATATCGTCGATAATGCGCTTTTGATGCATGGCGCAGTAAATTATCGTGTCCGTGGCTTCGATGGCGCCATCTATCAAATTGATTGGCAGCTCCGTGGATAGAATTTTACCATTTTCCCCGGATGAATTCATCAGATTTTTGTATTCGTGCAGCGAAGAGAGAATTTCGTCGGCGCAGCCTATTAATGCTGACAATGGATTGCGCATTTCATGGGAAGTCATATCAATAAACCGCTCTTGCTGCTGCTTCATTTCCAGCGCTTGTTCCATTCTGGCTCGCAATTGATTTTCCGACCATTTCAATTCCGAAATTTCTGTAATGCAACTCATTATTGTAGAAACATTACCCTCATCATCGAGATCTGGATATAGAGCAATAAGCAGATGTGTTTCCGTCCACTGTTCCTCACCATCAGTATTCAGCTCCTGGGCTTTCCATGGCTTTTTGAATCGCGACTGAAATGTGCGAGAATTTTTGTTATTGACAACTTCCGACCAAGCCGTCGTCAATGGCTCGAATTCTCCGGGCATTAACACCTTTTCCCAGTTTACCTTCGAGCTTCCAATATCGAGGCTTGTTTGAGATCTCCAGAGATCGTTTGCCAACAGGGCAGTTCCTTCACTAGTTAGGATTGCCAGTCCAACGGGGGTTCGTGTTGCAAACCGTGTAAAATTCGTTTCACTCTCGGTAAGTTGCTGCGATAAGGTTGCCCGATCTAATGCTTCCTGTTTGGCAAGTGCTAGGCGCCGTTTGACTTCCTGACGGAGTATAATAGCAGAGACTTGAGGAGTTGTAACTTGGTGTGACAACATTTGTATCCACTCTTGATAATCTCTATCATAAGGTCTTCGAGGGTTTAATGCAAGAACAAGAAAAGCAAGTACACTTTGTGTCTCGGAATCCATTAATGGACAAACAGCTACATGACTTGGTTCACCAAATCCTCGACACTTTATCCCACCCAAATTTTGCTTTACCTCGAGATCCAAAGGCACTAAGATGGTTTTCATTTCGGTCATAGCTCTTTCAAACGGCCTGGCTAGCCAGTTTTGATCATATGTTACATCGAAGCTCGGAGGTGCAATGTAATGTCCCTCGGGTATGCCAACAGAACCTTCGAGCACGCAAGGCACAGATGGCGCAGATGTTGTTGTTGTTGTTGTTGTTGTTGTTGTTGCTGCTGCTGTTGTTGATGAAAGTGGATTTGATACTTTGGAAGATTCGGAAGCTGAATATAAAAGACAAAAAGGCGCATCCTTCTCGGCCAACTCGAGACCTTGAATCAAATGATCCCAGAGATCACGAATGGTTTTCGCTTTGGATAATCGTTCGCCGAGAGCACGAATGATGAACATTCGTCTATCCCCGAGAACTTGACGTGTAGTTTCATCAAGTGTTGCATGTATAGCAATGACATATCCTTCGTCGCAAACGATTGGTACGTACTTATAAGTCATGTAAGTTTCTTCTTCGAAGCCGTGACGGTGGAGTAGAAGGAGTGCATCCTCTTGGAGAACTGCCTCGCCCGTATCCTTTTGCCTTTCAAGGAGTGCGCCGAAATAGTCCCAAATCTCAGCCAATTCAATACATGGATCTTGACCTTGCATTGCAGGGTGTTTCCGTCCAATGATTTGAGTGTATGGTTCATTGTAGACAATTGCATTATTATCTCCCCACATAACAACCGCCTTTCCATTTAGTCAGTCATCAGGTTCCTCATCTCTCAAAAGCAGCATCAACAACAAGAAGGATCTGCTGGAAGCCATAGTACAGGGAAGACTCACCGGTTTTGGATCCGCAAAACACAGAAGTACCATGGAACGAAGCTGTTTTGACCATCCCTTCATTGGACCCAGAGGGCTTTTCTCCCAATCGACGTCGACAGTAAATTGTTGAAACGGAGTTAGTTCGACAGCACGTGGTTCCGATATCCAATCCATGGTTTTCTTTCTTGACTTATTCGCCACCCCTGCACGTGTTGCCCCCAAAGTAGCTTGTTGATCCATGTTGAGTCTTGAAGACACTTTCTCCAAGTCACCAAACGCCGAGCTACAACTGACTATCCCCTCGTCCCAAAGAAGAGATACGTCCAAGTAAGTATCGAATCGTATGTGAAAATCCGCAACAAGCAAAAGAAACACCAAAAAGTTGGTGTGGATCCTATGCCGCAATATCCAACTAAACGGGAGCAGTAATGACGTCGTCAAGGAAAGTTGAGATGGTTCAAAAGGCAGCAACGATTGACATGTCTATGGAAGACGGTGATAACATATCTAAATTTATTGATGACCTCGAGGGGAAAAGGAGTGCCCGACTCCTGTTGTTATGGCCGTGAGAATTTGGAAACCTGCTAGGTACCTAGAAACACTAACAAGTGTTCTAGAACCACCCTAAGCTTTAGCGTAAATCGGAGTCCGAGTTGAATTGTTAAATTCACGTGCAGTAGCGTGAAGATCATGTGCCTACGAGGTAAGTAAGTGCTTGATGTTTGATATAAAGACGTTGACATTCGTTCGTTAATATCTTGTGTTTTCTGTATTGTAATGAAATCAATCTACTTGAACTTATTTGTTGGCCACATAAGGCCGATGCACATACACACACATAAACACAATTTTGAATCTCAAATGATGACAAGTGAAATGTGTATATAATTCAAAGGAAAAGTAAAAGAAATGTTGAGTAATGTTGGGCTAGAAGGGTAACATAAACCTAGTTCCCATCTACCCAGAACTTCTATTCATCTCTCAACCATCTCACCGGAAAGGACAATTTCCCCATCATTGTTGAATAGGTGATCATTCGAGTAGCTTTCCTCATCAGGATGATCAGCTATGCCAAACTTAACATTTTCTCCCTGTACACATGAATCGTGAGATTGATACATCACAAGATGGAATTGATGTGTTGCAAATGGGTGTGAACTGCTGAAGTCCTTCGAGTCGAACGCATGGCTTCGTCTCCTCTGGGTAACACAAGTCAAGGCTTGGTCTAAGGTTGCCGGAGCGTTGTTGAAAGCAAAGCCTTGAGTAAACATATATTCCGCCCTTTCCAACTTGGTGGACGTTTGATCATAAAGATAGACAAGATCTAAAGGGGTATATTTGAGAAGGTCTTTCACAAGATCTCGATACTGATCACCATATCCCCAAGCGATTTTCTCAACCTCATGGGACGTTAAATTGTGTTGAGATTGAATGACCAGATCTGAAGGATAAAGATCTATTTCAATAAGCTTGACCACATGCTGTATATACTCATTGAGCTGCACCATCTCAATTGTAGTATACGAAGTCATCAAACGTAGACGAGGATCATTTGAGGTATCCTCAGACGGGGAAGTCTGGTCGAATTGGTTGTAGATTCTGTCATGGAACAGATTGCCGTATGTCCAATAATGATAGATAGCTCGGCGTAGACGCCGCTGCTCATGGGGCCAAAGAAACCTCCTGTTTTGGTAATCGTGACGCCATCTAAATTGTGGAAAGATTTCGACCCATCTAGAAGCAACTCTGCCAAACTTTATCATCTTGCTCATTAGCTGGATTGAAAGATGAGGCTCATCGGAAACTTGTAGGATACGATCGACAGCAGCATTTCGACGGATGCCTGTGCCGATCACGCTGCGAGCTTTTGATTCATCGCTAATAACCAACTTCACCAAACCGGGAATTGGACCGTATACATCATCCAAAGCTCGTCTCAGGAGGGGTATATATTGTCCACGCAGCGCATCGCGATTCTTTCTGGAGGTCTGGGATAGATGGAGGATATCAATGAGGTCGCAACATTCGTATATATTCTGTAGTAACTCGGTTGAAAGATTCGTGATAGACATGACGAAGGTAGGTATTTGGGATGTTCTGTTACTTTATTGTAGGTAATGAAAACGTTCTCAAGCTCTTCGCAGATGTTCAGTATCCATGCAAAGATGATAATTGGAGTTATACTTCACCCACCTCTCTTATACAATGGGCAATCTTGCAGCTCCACTTCAGGGGTCGGTCTTCTATCGACCGTTGTTGATAATCAATTGCTTCAAGACTTCGTCTCGTGCTCTATCACCTTTGGATCGAACAAATCCAATGGATTTATTGAAATGCGTTAGATACTGCACTTCTGGAGGACACGGGCGGCAGCGATGGATGTAGATAATCAACTACCAAACGGCAACAAGTTTATGAGAACCTAGCTTTAGAATACCGCGACAATGGGGTTATGGGAAGTGCAAATAGGATCTTTCGAGCTTCTGCTGTTTGAAAATGACAGTCTGACGCGACTGGGAAGATGTTGATAAATCATGATGGGTGTGGTTGAAGGGAGAAAAGGTAGCATTAGGTCAGGATATGACGATGATGTCCATCATCTCGCTTAGTAATAACTGCCATTCATCTACCATTCATCCACCAGTATTATATATAAAGCCTACCAGTATCCCATACATTTTCGATTAAACATCACATCATATCCTATCACATCCTATCCTCTCACATCACATCACATCACATCCAAAGCAAAATTTCGAAATGTAAATGTAAATGTAAATGTAAATGTAAATGTAAACACTCGAGTATAAATGTCAATATACAGCGACAGCGACAAGGACCATGCAATTAATCCAACAAGTATAAAACCCGAAAAGGCCAAGCAGCATCTTCACAACAATATACCTAGGTACCTACCTAGGTAGGTAATCCCCGATCCAAAAATAATCTTCTAAAGGTGCCAGAGAGAGGTTGCAATCAATTACTCGTAATATAAATCAATTGAAGATATTTGTCCTGTATTGTATTTAAACCATCATAGACGTACGTACCTAATGGTAGCTTAATCTCCCCACAAAAATGCAATGCCCCAAAAACATGGTGTAGCATGCAAAAATCTAGTTTATGTACACAGTATATGTTGCACCTGACTATTCGATCATTCGACCAATTCGACCAAACTGGTTGAATGCTCTGAGTATTCACAACCGTTCACTTCGACTCGCCTATATCCTCTCAAGTTCTCCAGAGCTCGTAAGCTACAATTACAACCTCAGCAACTGTTCATATTTCATACCATAACCATCCTCAACCATCAGATATCCATCATCATTTCCCTTTCACCATCATCCATACCAGGCGCGGAAATCTCATCACCCATCCCCATAAAATGATCATTTCTCGCTTTCTCCTCAAATTTCTCCTGCATCCACTCCTTCGCACTTGGTTGATGCCTACGCATCATTTTTACCAAGCCCGTCTCCTCACTTCGTACCACCTTTCCAAATCGCTGTTTCCTAACCTTCCTGATGTTTTCCTCATCGGTCCAACACGCATGATTACCAGCAACGTAAATCTCACTATTTGACTTGTACCAACTGCTCAGAGTTGAATCTGTTTCGCTCTTAATCGGTCGAAGACTACCAGTTATGAAAGCAAGCACGCCTGCAACACGAGGGCGGCAATCTCTAGAGGTGAGTAGTTGTTTAATACCGAGGTATGCGTCGCCGACGCCCATAAGTATGATATTGTCTGAGTCGTAGAGTTCAATAAAATTCTCCCAGATATAGCAAACGAGATCTTTCATTTGACTTTCAAGCTCAGAGCCGCCAGGGCGAGGAGGATAAGTGCCAGTGGCGGAGGGAACGGTGTCAGTATTCAGTGGGATGTTGATATCCATCACGCCTATATCGTTTGCGATAGCCCAGTCGATGTATTCTGGGATTAAATCGACCTAGTTTGATTAGCTGGCCAGGTCTTCTTGAGCGCGAATATAAGCTTACGACATATGCGTTATGCGAGGCGACTTGAGCTGTGATTGGATCGGGAGCGGCCAATAGCTCCGCACCAAAAAATAATTAGCAGACCTCGTAGAAGATGATGAGGGAGCTTACGGATCATGGACAATTATCAGTATCTTCTTCGCAAAGTTGATCGATGGAGTGACCATAACCTGATTATCGAATGATCTTGCGAGTTGATGTCGTTGAACCCACAAGGAGACCATTTGATAGTTTTTGCTCAATAAATTTCTCTGGTGACTTCGAACAACATCATCTACACGAACAGCCCCTTTGAATTGTGCTTCTTTGTAGTCAACGATTCCGGATCGCATACATTCCCAATATGGAGATTGATAAAACTTGACTTCTTCAAAAACTCCGGCGGCGACTTTACTCAATGGTGGAATTGGCTGTCTCGTTGGTGGTTCCCCCATTAAAGTTTTGGCTACTGCAAGAGCGGAACGTGAGATCGCTGATAGGTTATAGCCACCTTCAAGACAAACGGCCACCTTTCCACCAGCTAACGACATGAGCATATGTGTCATGTGGGAGTAGCAGCCGGGTGTTACAAAACATCCTCCGAGTTCATCACCCGCGGCAGCGTCAAATCCCGCTGATATAATGACAAGATCTGGATCATACTCTTGAGCAATAGGCATGACAATCTTTTGGAACGCTGCCATATACTCTCCATCTCCCATGCCTTGGCAGGGCCATCCAATATTGACATTCTTGCCAAGGCCGGCTCCGCTACCAACCTTATCGTTACCACCATCGGGGAGACTGTCATCTTCGGGTTGACCTGGATAAAAATTTCCATCCTCGTACACGTGAAGCGAGATGTATAAGACGTTTGGATCGTCGTAGAACATGTTCTGGGTGCCATTTCCGTGATGAATATCCCAATCCAAAATTAAAACCTTCCTACATGTTTCAGGATAATCCAGCATACAAATCTTAGCAGCGATAGGGACATTGTTGAAAACACAAAATCCCAGCGACTCGTTCGATTCGGCATGGTGTCCAGGTGGACGAATAACAGCAATAGCATTTTTCACATTTCCCTCAACAACATGTTTGCAAGTTTCTATCGCTCCACCCGCGGAGATCAAGGCAGCTTCGTAAGTACAAAGTCCGACGTATAGGGACTTCCGACCAGTGTCCATTACCTTATTTAGCTCGCGTATTTCTTCAGAGGTTTTATGGGCCAAGGACTCAACCCAGTCGTAGTGCATTGCTAAATGCATTGTACAAATTTCATCTTTTCTGGCTTCTCTTGCTGCAATCCGCCACATGTACTTGGTAGGTGATTCTTTGAGAATTGCTTCAAGGTTTTCCGGACTGCCAGTATAGATCAAGCCAGCCTCTTTGAATGCTCTCATTATTGCTTCTATTCGTCGAGGGTCTTCTGGATGCGCCGTGTTATCCGAGAAATCTCCGGTAGCGTGTAGCTTCATTCGATCATCATAACAACACCCTGTTGGTAGATATGCTTGGCGTGGAGCAGCTATGATTTTTGTTTCGTCTGACGATGAGTCCATTTCATCCTCGGGGTCGTGATCATCGTAGGTAACGTGCACGTCTTTCGTGGAGGTTAGGACTCTAGGGTCAACAAAACCATTGCCGTTTGACAATATTCCATTGATAGATGCTGCATGGTTATCTTCATGTAGCTGCATATCTAAATCACTGCTTGCCAACAGCAATGGGGGTCCTAGTGTGTCCATCGCTGGCCGACTAACACGTCACCTAGGCGGATGTTCAGTGGGGACCGAGAATGAATGGATGAAGGATATGGTCGGGTATGAAATTGACCAAAATGCTATGACTTGGGTTGAAATGGAGGGCTTAACGGCAAATCTTGACAACCGCCGTGAATCTCTGCGAGAACGAGATACCGTGGTCTTGGGTGATGATGTGAAAATAAAGAGTCTGTCGGGGAGGCCAAGAAGCTATGAGTTGTCAGGAGATCGATGTTTGTTATGCAGAAATAAAATGGTAGAGAAACCAAGACCCAAAACGTATGATAGTGTTGAGAATTACTTCAAAGGAAAGTGATGCTGGATCATGGCGGATGAGTCCACTCCAACACTGTGGGAGTATCTTATTAGAAATGAGAGACATGACAAGCTTAGTGATCCATGTGCTTCAAATCGATCTCGACACTCTAGCAGCAATATGACTCGATAAACCACAATGAGTTTAATCAAGGTGAATTAGTAGTTCAAGAGACTAAAGTGTCATGTGACTAGAAAGCAGAAGACAGAAAGACACACATTCCTTGGTTCAGTTTGAACAGTCTGTGGAGAGACTTGTGTCTCTGTAAAGCTCTTTTGAATCTGCTTGAACTACACAAGGTGCCAGCAATGGAGTATGAGGGATTATCAAATAGGAATAGAAGTGAAGCATTTAAACTTACCGAGACCAGAATGAATGGAAATGCAGTGATATCTCAGAAGAAACAATAGTTCTCAGCTGTCGGGTTCCGAGCTTCATGCAAGACAATTGCTAGGTATTTAGATTTCAAAAGGGAATGTAAGTTCGAATACGTGAATTCCGCTATTATCGTGTTCGCAAGGTTGTTGATGAGTATTATTTGAGTTGTATCGAGGAATGGATTCCGAGTCGAAGCACCTAGCCGACGAAATGTTGTGGCCTGCAATTGTAGGCAATAATCTGAATGACCCCCTTTCAAGTCCAATACTTGGATTCGAATCCAAAGTTCCGATAATTTTTCAAGCTCTTCAAGCTTAAAATTTTCATATTAGTTTACACATCTATTAGTTGGATTCTCAAATAATAAGAATGACAATCATTGAAACGGGGATTCTTCGAACCACCAAATTTGCAGCAGTTATCAACTTCCAAGTACATCAAACAAAACTATATTTGGGTGAGGGGCCTGTTATTCTTATAAGTCAGGTCATTAGGTCAAGGAGAATTAGGGAACATATGGGACATGTATGAGTAGAAGTTATGGATGTCAGTTGCGTTTATCAAGGTAATAAGGGGGCGAGGTATTAAAGCACTTCACATGTTGAGGACGATTTAGTGTTCTTGATTTTGTTTCCATTCCTAAGCTATCATAAGGCATACATCGTTACTCGGTAATAACTATTCATTTTAATGAAAGTTTTGCATCTGAGTTGAGAATCAGAGCTTGCCTTTCAAGAATTCTCTGCCAAACAATGGTCAGAGCCTTGATCACTTCCTAAAGACTGAGCAGAAACTTCCTACTGCTTGTTATCAACCTTGGAGATGTAGTGGAGGAGATCAAGGACACGACGAGAGTAACCCCACTCGTTGTCGTACCAGGAAACCAACTTGACGAAGTTGTCGTTGAGGGAGATACCGGCCTTGGCATCGAAGATGGAGGAGCGGTTGTCACCGTTCATGTCAGTGGAGACAACGTCGTCCTCAGTGTAACCCAATATGCCTGTATATCACTGTTAGTAAGCTGGAAAACAAGAAAGATTTGTGAAAGCTCTTACCCTTAAGAGGACCCTCCTCAGAGGCCTTCTTGATGACGGCCTTGATCTGATCATAAGTAGCACCCTTCTCAATGCGGCAAGTCAAGTCAACAACTGAGACGTTGGCAGTTGGAACACGCATAGACATTCCGGTGAGTTTGCCGTTAAGCTCTGGGATGACCTTTCCGACGGCCTTGGCGGCACCGGTGCTCGATGGGATAATGTTTTGAGCAGCGGTACGTCCTCCACGCCAATCCTTTGCGGATGGACCATCAACGGTCTTTTGGGTGGCAGTGTAGGAGTGGATGGTGGTCATCAAACCTTCAATGATGGTGAACTCATCGTTGATGACCTTGGCGAGAGGTGCCAAGCAGTTGGTGGTGCAAGAAGCGTTGGAGATAACATCAACATCACCAGTGTAGGTCTCGTTGTTAACACCCATGACGTACATTGGGGCATCGGCAGAAGGAGCAGAGATGACAACCTTCTTGGCACCACCCTTCAAATGAGCCTTAGCGGTGTCGGTGGTGGTGAAAACACCAGTGGACTCGACAACGTAGTATGCCTCAGTTTCGGCCCATGGGATGTTGGCAGGGTCTCTCTCAGTGTAGAACTTGACCTTCTTGCCATTGACCTCCAATCCGTCGGTAAGGACCTTGATATCGCCCTTGAATTGACCGTGAGTGGAGTCATACTTCAACATGTATGCCTGTAAACAGTATATATTAGCTCGGGTCCCTTGTGATTACGGGAGCTCCGGTAGCGGCAACTTACGGCATACTTAGTGTCGATGAAAGGATCGTTGACAGCGACAATGTCAATGTCATCATGCTCAATAGCATTTCTGAAGACGATACGTCCGATACGTCCGAAACCGTTGATTCCAACTTTAGTAGGAGCCATTTCTAAAATGATGTTAGAAATTGCAGGAAAAGCCTTTCTGGTGTTTGTTGACGAGATAGGGATAGCTCGGGAAGTCAAAAGATAGCTTCGGATCCGATCTACAAGTCGAAGCTATAGATATTTGATACAACGAGGGTATTGAGGACGGGTTTGAGTATAAGAAGACCGACTTACTTGTAATATTTTGATGATTCTTGAGATGAGTTTTGTAAAGGGAGATTGGGTTGTTTATGTAGGAAAGGAAGAAACGAAGGGGGGTAACAGAAGTTGGTGGGGTCAATTGTTGAATCAATTTTACGGTAGCGCCCCCTCCTTTAGCGTGAAATGAATGATGGATAGATGGCCCGTGCCAGATCCCCTTCTAAGTTCTGCTTGTAACCGCCAAGTTTAGAAATTAATTCACTGTCGAAGACTCGAAGGGGGTGGATGAATAGCGAATCAGATCTGATTGGGTCTAAGACTGATGAAGTACCAGTTACGTGTTAACTCTTGGAAATCCTTGGGTTTGTTTGACGACGAAGTTAATATACATTACTCGAGTATAAACTTTGATAGCATCCACCCGTCCGTTACTTTCAAATTAAAGGGTTCGCTTCAAATAGCATTCACTATCGATAAGCATAGCTCCAAGCGCTGTAAGTATATTTTTATAGGCTTGTGAGAGCTCGAAAGTAGCTAGACAGACACCCAAAATACCATTCCTCCCACTGTCCCACATCAAGTACCGGTACACTTGTCTGTCATTATATCGGAAGCTATCGGTCAAAGGCGTCTAAACACGATAATTCGGGTATTATTATTATTATAGGGTGAATTATTAACCTTTTGTTCACATTATTGCGATCCGAGACGAAGATTGTCTCTCTCGAGCTCATGTATTTATTTTCCCTCTCAAATCTCTTGGTCTTTGAGTCCAAAGCATTGATCACAATAAATCACTCCACTCACTCAATACACGTGCTGCTCAAGGTTTTCTTATTTGCATATTATATCCTCATCTGAGTCATCTTATCCATCTTATCTCATTCTTGTCTCATTCTTGTAACTGAGCCATGCTGAATAAGCCTTTTGACTCCGTCTTTTGCGGTCTCATTTTCGGACTTTCTTTTTTTTCTTCTGCTCTTGATTGATAAGGCCCCATGTATACTCTACCTAGTACAGGTAGGTATCCTTATATTTGAGTTTGTATTATATAATCCACCCGTCGGATCATCGGACATATGTTTTTACAACACACCCCGCCGCTTGAAACTGTACCTCCAAGAGTCCAACTGCATGTCAAACAGCTCAACTCTACCGCGCGTAAAAGCTATTCTCATTATACAATATCTGGAGTCATAGTACTAAATTAGTAGCTTGCATGATTTTGTATAATGGAGAAGAAGATACACATACCTGATGAGATCATCTAATGGTGCTTCAACTCTGAAAAGAGAAATAATCAGTTGCTACAACATCACGGTTCACTCTTCCCCTTCCACATCCAGAGTACTGTAATACCATACACTGTACTGTACCGTACTCGGGTCTCTAACAGTTCATTTCATTCGCTCAGGGACAAGTTTACGGGCCACTATGCTACCGTAGACCTTTCTCCCTTCTAAGTTCTTACTCTCACTCTCACCCATCCGCGAACACCCAGGTCAACCCGTCGAGGTCGAATGTATCGATATCTCGGGCTAGCAACTAGTAACTAACAACTAGCAACCACAAAACCCCATAATCGAAGAACTCGTCCCCGTCTCGAAGTATACCAATCTACGGCCAATCTAGAGCATCTGTTTTGAAATTGAAGATATATTATCCGCATAAAAATGATGTAATCGCCAACCGCGGGATCTATCCCGCCGGAAATTCTCCTTACTTCGTATTTTTATATATTTTTTCCCATCGCCGAACCCACGGTAACCGACATCTTGTACTGTATAAAGTACCTAGTTATAAATTGCATCCCAAAAAAAAATCCAATTCTCGAGGCCAATCCTCGAAAACACCTAGCTTTCTCATTTCAATCTTTTACAATCAAATTTATTTCATAGCAATCTGATTGTCCAATCGAGACTTGATAATTTATAAACATATAAAAGATTTGATGGTGGCCAACCGGATGACGTTGATTCGTCAAAATCAAGAGTCTTTGGTATTCCACCATCTGAAAGTACAACGATATCGAAAGAGCTCTGAAAAAGCTTCGATCGTAACCCAGAAACCCATAGCAAAATTTCAACAAGTAAACCTAAGTTGACCATCTTCTATCAACCGTCAATCCACAGAAATGAAGATATAAACATTGCACGTGATCTCGAAAGTGGACCTCTACCACTCGCTTAACAAAATCCGTCCTCCAAAGTCATCCGATTCCCCATCCTGCACCACGCATTCCCGCCCGCACGCAGCTCTACCGTCTACAATACCCATCTCACACTCGCACGCACATATCCCGCACGCATTTCTCCCTCCAAACCATCATCATCATAGGACCAGCAACCATGTTCCGCACCCCAATTGCCCGCAGCGTTGTCGGCGCCGCCGGTGCCCGCGCAACTGGAATGGCGGTTCGAAATCAGGTCCGATGTGCTTCGGCTCATGCGATTAGTAACCCGACGTTGGCGGATATTGAGAAGAGGTGGGAGGGCATGCCACCGCAGGAACAGGCAGATCTGTGGATGAGCTTGAGGGATCGGATGAAGATTAATTGGGCAGAGTTGACTTTGCAGGAGAAGAAGGCTGGTATGTTTGTTCTTTTCTTTGAAGGGTGAGGTGAGGTTTGTATATGTATGGGTTGGAGTTCAGAGGGGAGGTCGGATGGGCTTTCAGAGGGCTGCAGATGGAGCAGTGTATTTTATGAGTGGGTCGAGGTGGGAAGTTGCGGGGTATGATATCATGGGGTAGAGATGGAGATCAAGGTTGATGTTGATGTTGAGATTTAAGGAGATAAGAAGGCTAATAGATATTCATGAATAGCTTACTACATTGCTTTTGGCGCCCATGGACCACGAGCTCAAACCCCTCCAGGAGAAGGATGGAGGGTCGCCGCGTACACATTCGCTGGAGTCGGTGTTTCCCTCGCCCTCTTCCTTTTCATCAGAATGTTCGCCAAGGGAAGCCCATCCACCATGAACAAGGAATGGCAGGAGGCTACTAATGAGTACTTGAAGGTATGTATATCTTATTTTGCCACATTATCGCAGACATTCAATCTCCATGCATGCTTCATTCATGATATCGAGATATATCGGAGGCATTCAAGAAAACATAACTAACACACGACCTCCACCCACAGTCACAAAACTCCGAACCCATCAGCGGTATCTCCTCCGAAGGATACGTCGGCCCCGGCCAAGTGCAATCCGCCCCCAAGAAGAACTAAACCCTTCCTCCTAGCACCTATACATAAAGCCAGAAAAGAAAAGAATACACACACAGTTGCTCTCTCCACGCGGTTACTGATTCCAAACTACCTGCATACAAATCTTATTTTTTCTTTTCTTTTGTTGGATGGATGTGAGCCTTGGGAGATAGGTAGTTTAGAAAAAGGGATGAATGAGATATCGATAAGATGATGAAGGGAGGGGAAGGAGCGATTTCTTGTAAAATAAATCGGGTTGGAATGGAAAAGAAGTTGGTGGTTTGGTTTTGTGCATAGATATGGAGAGAGGATGGAAGGGAGGGATGGGATGGGGCAGATGAATGAGTGGATAAGAAGATGAAAGATCCAGTTCTTAAACAATGCAGCATTTGTACAACAGATCATGAGGCTTCGTTTCCTGATTGTTTAGAAGAATTTGAGCTCTGTGAATATTCATGTTGATTGAGCTTTTGGGTTAAACTGAACTGAGCTGAAGTGAAGTGAAAGGGGAAGTGATGTGATATCAATTTTCCCTCTTCCTCATCCATGTGTACTGTACGCACCATGAAAAGAGACAAAGAATTTAAATCCCGTTTCATAATTTTCATATCCATATCCAAACTCATATCCAAACTCATATTTCACATTTCATATCTACCTGCCAGCCTACCCAACTACCCGCCTCTCTACCCTTCCGCCCCCTCCCCTGTCCAATGCCTGTCCAATGTCCAATACCCAATACCCAATACCCAATACCTATCAACAATACAAGATCTGCTCTGTCCTACTCTGTCCTGCTCAGCTCAATAGCATATTGATAAAATTGCCCGCCCGCCTGCCTGCTTATACTAAATTGCATATTAAACGCAACCAAAGGCATACCAAACACATACAACCCATCCCACCCCATACGCCAGCAAATATAGGGGGCTTACATAGGTAGGTAGGTAGATAGATATGAACATATGTTGCATATTAAATGCCACATCAAAAAGCCAAATGGCGAATCAAAATTACCATGGCCCAAGGTACTGTAAGATTACTATTGTAGAGGGTAAAAGATTCGGTACCTGGATTATTTTTCTTCTTTCTTCTTTCTTCTTTCTTCTTTCTTCTTTCTTCTTCTTCTTTCTTCTTTCTTCTTTCTTCTTTCTTCATTTTCTTCTGTTTCTCCTTCTTCCTCTTCCTCTTCCTCACCAAACGAGCTACTCACTCACACGTTCATCATACTAATCCGCGTACATTCGATTCACATCTTTACATCCCCCCCTCAGTCACGACCCTATATTCCTGAAAACTATCCATGGATTTATCACCTGCACCGCCACTCCCATCCTTATTCTCTTTTCCATTGTTCTCCTCACGACCCGCTATTCCATTCCGCCGTTTCCACACCTCTTCTTCCTGCTCAATGGCTTCCTCGAATACATTACGTTGATTGCGGGAGAAACAGCGGGGTAGACGCGTTTCCCCGTCTGTGCTGTCTTTATCTGTGTTACTGCATGCGCTTGCTATATCTGATGTTGATGTTGATGTAGATGTGGATGTAGAAGAGGAAGAGGAAGATGATGGTACTTTTGAGGCGAACTGCGAGGATTGAGTGTCTAAACCCCCTACAAACGCTTCATCCACAAGTACATAGCGAATATTGGGTGACGAGGGACCTATGAACATGATTTCCTGCAGCACGTTTTCCATTATTGATCGTAAACCCCTTGCTCCGATTCCCGTTCCCTTTTCGCCTTTGGATTTTCCCCCTTCCTTTCCATTTCCAGACGAAGATGAACCATACAGAGCTCGCGAAGCAATAGCTTCCAGCGCCAGTTTCGTGAATTGGAGAATGATACCATGGGAACCGTAGGTTTCAAAGAGTGCGGTATATTGTTTTACCAACGAATTACGCGGTTCGGTGAGGATAGATACTAATTGAGGCAGGGAAAGGGGGGAGAGAGAAGTGATTATTGGAATGCGGCCGAGGAGTTCGGGTATGAGACCGTAGGCCTGGAGATCGCTGGGAGTGGTGTGGGTGAGAATGTCCAGTTGTTTTTCTTTTTCTTTTGCTGTGTTTGAAGAAAAGAAGGAGGATGAGGGGAGAGAGGATTTAAATCCGATTGAGGAACCGGTTGATAGACGTTGCGAGATTATTTTTTCGAGGCCGATAAATGCTCCGGCGAAGACGAAGAGGATGTTGGAGGTGTCGATTGTGTATTGTTCGCTTTTGGCTGGGGGGCTTGTCTCTCGTCCTACGCGATCTATTCCTCGGCCTGAGTTGGAGGCATTTTTATCGGACTTAGCGTTTACGGTGACATTAGTCCCTTCGATCATTTTAAGAAGGCCTTGCTGGACCCCTTCCCCTGATACGTCACGGCCATGTGTCATGACGGCCGGTTTGGCGAGTTTGTCTATTTCATCGAAGAATATTATTCCGGTCTCGCATTTTTGGACGGAGTGGGAAGAGGCGAGTAGTAGACGTTCGATGGAAGATTCGATGTCGGTGCCGATGTAACCGGCTTGGGTTAGGGAAGAACAGTCTACAGTTGCAAAGGGAACTTCGAGGACACGAGCAAGGGTTTGGAGTATGTAGGTCTTCCCAACGCCAGATGGCCCTAGTAACATGAGGTTTGATTTCTCGATGATCGTACGGCTTTGAAAGGGGTCTTCTAGTGGTCGAGAACCTAGTTCGGGTTCTTCTTCATACTCTCGTTCACGGCTTGGAGCATTGAGGTCGGCGGTTTGGATGACGTGACCAACGTATTCATCTGGAATTATGTTAGAATTTTCTTCTCATGTGAAATATAGAGATATAATTACTGTCAACAAGATGACTGTTACGTTCCCGTTCATATAAATGTCTCCTGCTATACTGCTCCTTCCTTTCCTGCTCTTCAGCTTCCTGTCTCCTTAATTCTCGTATCCGTTGATAATGATTATAAATAGCCACACATGTGACCTTCTTCGCCCTATCTTGTCCGACGACGAATTTATCCAAATGATTTTTCAATGACAAAGGAGTAAGAGATGGAACCCCATGTCTAGAAGCCTGGGAGAGAGGACCCTTTGTTGGAGCACCCGGCTCGTATGATGAAGTCCAACCTTGACCCTCGTAATCTGAGCGTCTGAACTGTGCATCGCGATAGCTTCTCACGATTGAGATGTGAAGAGACCGGTGGCAAGTTCTTAGAATTGGAGGGTTGAAGAGGGATATCCGGTTGAGTCCCGACATCGGGGACATATTGTTGAATTGTAGTTTCTCATCTGAGCAACAAGATGAACATGAAAGGCTTGGGACATGGATGTGTAATGTAAGGCTTCAACTTTTAATCATGAAATCCTTTGAATTTGGAGTAATTGAGCAATGCACGTGAATAATCTATATCAGATTCCGTGAGACAATGATATCGGTCGGGAGGTCGAACTGAGTACGGCAACCGACGCTATGCGCAGTTCGTTGCGGGGTGATAGTTTCTACTTGGCCCGAGCTACCTAGCTAGTGCTAAAATCCGGAATAATAAATGGGAAGGTGGGATGAAAGAAAGAAAGAAAGTTGGGTTGAGTGATGAGTGATGAGTGGAGAGTGAGGTTAACATAACAGTGTTTGAAATGATATTTCATATGAACTCACTTCCACTTGATATTCGCGTGTTAACGAGTCATTTATTAATTTGATTTAAGTGTGAATAACTTCAAAATCAAAAAATTACTGTCATTAACAGACAGAGTACTGGCTGGGATGGTGCGGTGGTTCGTTGATTTTCACATCTGACAGGGATCGACGTCACTAAAAACAGACATGGGCTTCCCGCTTTATAGGCGATTACAAGGTCTTTAACTCGCGAGTTGGGCATTAAGCTCAAATTCTCAATAGCCCATCCAGGAGGGGTGAATGAGATAGTAAACAAATTGTTGATTGGATAACTACTAAGTTACTCATACAATAGAGAATTACAGTACAGTTCATACGAGAGAGAGTACAGTATCTATAAAATATCATAAATTGAATGAATATTTCCCTCCTTTTCTCTCTTGGCTGTCATCTTTTCCATCTTTTCTATAGCTATCAATCACCCTTCACCCTTCATCCAACCGTTTGATCATCATTATTTAAACGCCCCTCTTATCCATATTATTATACCCCTCCATCAAAGCTCCTCAAATCCGGAGAGCACTTACTCAGTAGTACTAGCTCGACTTTCTCCAATAAAATCCCAAATTCAAATTCCCCAACCTCGTACAATCTGTCAAAATCACTACAAGTATCTACGAGAATGGCTAATGTAAATGACCTGGCAACTACTTCAATAATGGAGAATCAACCTTCAAAGGGAATACCAAACGATGGAACTGGTAAGTTTTAACAAGCTCCAAGAATATAACCAGTATTGACCAAGCTACCGGTAGGTGTTATCCAACTTGATCCATGGCTCGAACCATTCAAAGATTCTCTGAAGCACCGATTTTCAAAAGCACAGCAGTGGATTAAAACTATCGACGACACAGAAGGTGGCCTTGAGAAATTCAGCAGAGTCCGTGAAGCTCCTATGCATTCCTCGATCATGGCTAACCATACCAGGGCACGGAGAAGTTTGGATTTAATGTCGACAAGGACAACAATATTACATATAGAGAATGGGCTCCGAATGCTACTCAAGCATTCTTGATTGGTGAATTCAGTATTTCTCTCCTCCCTCTTCCATAAAATCTGGGGCGTTGCGCATTAACATTGCATAGATGATTGGAACCGCGAATCTTACCCTATGAAAAAGGACCCCTTCGGCGTCTTCGAAATAGTTATACCAGCAAAGGATGGTAAACCAGCCATCGCACATAATTCTAAGATCAAGGTAAGCTACCCTGATGGAGCCTACGCTTTTACTCCTCACTAATCCCACCAGCTTTCTTTGATCACACCTTCCGGCGAACGAATTGAACGAATTCCTGCATGGATCAAATATGTCACACAAGATCTTTCCGTCTCCCCTGTCTACGACGCTCGTTTCTGGAACCCATCTGAATCGGAACGATATGTCTTCAAACACCCTAGACCCAAGAAGGCAGAAAGTATCAGGGTATATGAGGCACACGTTGGAATTTCGTCCCCAGAACTACGAGTTTCCACATACAAGGAGTTTACTAAGAATATGATACCAAGGATACATCATTTGGGTTATAATGTCATTCAGCTTATGGCCATCATGGAGCATGCGTATTATGCAAGTTTCGGTTATCAGATCAACAGTTTCTTTGCCGCAAGCAGTCGATTTGGAACACCGGATGAGCTGAAAGAGCTCATAGATACTGCACACGGACTTGGTATCACTGTTCTACTCGATGTAGTTCACAGTCACGCTTCAAAGAATGTGTTGGATGGACTCAATGAGCTCGATGGATCTGATAGCTGCTACTTTCACGGAGGTGCGAAAGGGAAGCATGAGTTGTGGGATAGTAGACTTTTCAATTATGGATCTCACGAAGTCTTGAGATTTTTGCTCAGCAATTTGCGATTTTGGATGGATGAATACAACTTTGACGGATTTCGATTTGACGGCGTTACGAGTATGCTTTATACCCATCATGGAATTGGAACGGGATTTTCTGGAGGTTACCATGAGTACTTTGGTCCAGGTGTTGATGAGGATGGTGTTGTATACCTCATGCTTGCCAATGAGATGTTACATCAACTTTACCCAGAGTCGATATCCATTGCCGAAGATGTATCTGGAATGCCTGCCTTGTGTTTACCGTTAGCACTTGGTGGTGTAGGATTTGATTACAGACTCGCCATGGCCATTCCCGACATGTGGATTAAGATTCTCAAGGAGAAGAAAGATGATGAATGGGATCTTGGAAGCATTTGCTTTACTTTAACAAACAGACGCCATGGCGAGAAGACCATTGCATACTGCGAGAGTCACGATCAAGCCTTGGTTGGAGACAAGTCTATCATGATGCACTTGTGTGACGCAGAGATGTACACAAACATGTCAAAACTCACAGAGTTCACGCCTATAATTGAGCGTGGGATGGCATTACACAAGATGATCCGTCTTCTCACTCATGGTCTTGGAGGTGAAGGTTATCTCAATTTCGAGGGTAACGAATTTGGCCATCCAGAATGGCTCGACTTCCCTCGTGAGGGCAACGATAACAGCTTCTGGTATGCGCGTCGTCAGTTCAACCTTCCAGATGACGACCTTCTTCGTTACAAGGCATTAAATGAATTTGATTCTCATATGCAACGCCTCGAGGCAAAGTATGGATGGTTACATAGTGATCAAGCCTACATCAGTTTGAAGAATGAGTCTGATAAAGTCATTGTCTTTGAACGTGCTGGCTTGTTATGGATTTTCAATTTTAATTCAACTCAAAGCTTTGCAGATTACAGAGTTGGTGTCGAACATGAGGGTACTTACAGAGTTGTTCTGAACACTGATACTAAAGACGTTGGAGGTTTCGAAAGGATTGATTCTGGAACACGCTTCTTCACAACGCCTTTCGCATGGAACGGCAGGAAAAACTTCATTCAAGTATATATTCCAACCCGTACAGCAATTGTAAGTTTTCCCATGATCACATGAATATCGGAGGCTAATCATATACAGGTGTTGGCACTCGAATCTACGCTGTGAAGTGAGGAAACGAGGAGTGTACTGAAGAGAATATGAGCGAGACACTGGGGTAGGACAATTAAGAGGACTTGGCTTTCCAACACTCCTTATGTTGATAGATTTACTTTAGCTATGTGAGCCATTGCAGCGAAGAAAAAAAAATAGATTCTTTTTCTTTTTCCCTTAACCAAAATGTATTTTGATGAGAAAACGAAATATCTCATATGTGCTTATACTTTCTGAGTTTTTCAACAAAGTGTAGACCACATTTCGAAACTATCCCATTATCTGAATTACTTACAACACACATTACCCTATGGGCACCTCATACCGGGCTTTTCCTTATACACAAGGAATCATTGCACTGAAACATATATTGAGGTACTTTGAGGTCATGAATTGAGATTTTGAATCGAGATGTGAATCTAATATGAATTAGCTAGTTTTTAGTTGGATATAGTTTCATTTTGTTATATTAATTGATGAGTGATTTCAAATTCATTTATTCAAGAATTGCTTTAATTTTTCTATTCCTTTATAACTTGAATGATTTCAATATTCTAGTATTTAGTAAGTTAGATTGAAGGGTTTTAATGATTTAATATTCAATATTCAATATTTAGTAATTTAGATGTTTCCAATGATTTTTATGATTTGAATAGAAGCCAATAAAGGGATCAATCGTTTACGGTACTCGTATATCCGAGTCAATGATTAAGGGTTAACGACGACGAGAGTGCGACGATGAGGTAGAGAGTTCATACGAGTAAAAAGGGAAGGAAGGGAAGGGAGGAGAAGGGCTTGGAAGCTAGAGAGACTAGGGAGGCTAGGAGGCTAAAGGTTACTGAGGTCAGGGAGGGTCAGGGAGGCTAGGGAGGCTAGGGAGGCTAGGGAGGCTAGGGAGGCTAGGCCCGGGAGTGAGGGAGCGGCTATCGATACCGGATGAACTATTTTAGCTTCAAAATCTGATATTTTAATATAATCTCAATACCTAGGTACCTTAGGTGCATGCATTGAAAAGGACGTTAGCAAGAAATGACCGGTTTGCCTGTGCTGTATAAAGAATTGGTTGTTCTTATACAAGGAAAAGATTTCCTGTATGATGTACCTAGGTAGGTAGGGAAAAGGCTGGTATGAGGTGTCTGTAGGGGATCACCTTTGAACCTATCTCATTGTCTGAAATATCTATGATATACTCGAGTAGTTTAATCGAAGTTGATAGACCTCACTTTCGAACCTATTACATTGTCTGAAACACTTACAGCAAGTATATATATTAACATTTGATCTCATCCTATCTTGATCTGAACATTGTCGTTGATCTTAACTCGGGTCAAAACGGGAAGTCGGAAGTTATGCCATCACGTGGGGCTCTACGCTAACAATTAGTCGAGAAGCTCATTTTGCTGCTGGCTTCAATCTACCTCCTCTTGCTGCAATACCATACCTCAATCAACCTTTTTGTTTCTCCACTCCCATCTTTAACGCTCTTCTCCATCCGTCAAGATGTTCAGGAGGTATGTACCGACATTTCAAAGCCGTTTACCTCGTCGCAATGGGTGGCAATGGACCAATTGAGCTGACTTTTAATCCTGGTATAGCGCCATCCAAAACTCTACCCTCCGGGCTTCAAGAAGCGCCTTCAGACCAGCTTTGTCGACTGGTTTAAGAGCAGCTTCTGCTAGATTTGCTAGTGACAGTGCCGTGCATGGCAAGATTCATCAAGTCATTGGTGCCGTCGTTGATGGTAAGTGGCATGGAAAATTCTTCCTCGGCAACGACGTCGAACTCCGGATCTAGGGATTACGTGGGGGACGAGCTTGAAATACCCTGCCACTGCATACTGACCACATTTTAACAGTAAAATTCGATACCGAGAAGCTCCCACCCATTCTCAACGCCCTCGAGACCAGTAACAATGGCCAAAAACTCATTCTTGAGGTCGCAGTACGTCAACACAACAAAAAATATAAACATCGAATTCAGACTGACAGGGATAACAGCAACATTTGGGTGAGAATGTCGTCAGAACTATTGCTATGGATGGTAAGGAAACTCGACCTTGACGGATACAAGTACAAAAATTGACCCAACGCGTTTATAGGTACCGAAGGTTTAGTCCGTGGTCACCGCGCAACCGATACTGGATCACCAATCATGGTACCAGTCGGTCCAGGAACCCTCGGTCGTATCATGAACGTCACTGGTGACCCAATCGACGAGCGTGGACCCATCAAGTGCAACAAGAGACTACCAATTCACGCCGATGCCCCACCTTTCACTGAACAATCTACCGCTGCTGAAGTCTTGGTCACTGGTATTAAGGTCGTTGACTTACTCGCTCCTTACGCTCGTGGAGGAAAGATTGGTCTCTTCGGTGGAGCTGGTGTCGGAAAGACTGTGTTCATTCAAGAGTTGATCAACAACATTGCCAAGGCACACAGGTGGTTACTCTGTTTTTACTGGTGTGGGTGAGCGTACTCGTGAGGGTAACGATTTGTACCACGAAATGCAAGAGACTTCGGTTATTAACCTTGATGGAGAGTCCAAGGTCGCTTTGGTCTTTGGTCAAATGAACGAGCCCCCCGGAGCCCGTGCACGTGTTGCTCTTACTGGTCTGACTGGTACGTACATACTCAATCACAGTCAACAACGTTATACAGTATTATATTAACCTTCTCCTCTTTATTTAGTTGCAGAATACTTCAGAGACGAAGAAGGTCAAGATGGTAGGCTTTTACACTTCAAACCCCAAAAAACTGATGCAAATACTAACTTTTTACTAGTTTTGCTCTTCATCGATAACATTTTCAGATTCACTCAAGCCGGTTCCGAAGTGTCTGCTCTTCTTGGTCGTATCCCATCTGCTGTAGGTTACCAACCTACTCTCGCTGTTGATATGGGTCTCATGCAAGAACGTATCACAACTACCACCAAGGGTTCAATTACCTCGGTCCAAGCTGTCTACGTGCCAGCTGATGATTTGACTGATCCTGCCCCTGCTACCACCTTCGCCCATTTGGATGCCACCACTGTCTTGTCCCGTGGTATTTCTGAGTTGGGTATCTACCCAGCTGTCGATCCTCTTGATTCCAAGTCCCGTATGTTGGATCCCCGTGTTGTCGGACAAGATCATTACGATACTGCCACCCGTGTCCAACAAATGTTGCAAGAGTACAAGTCCCTCCAAGATATCATTGCCATTCTTGGTATGGATGAATTGTCAGAAGCTGACAAGTTGACTGTCGAGCGTGCACGTAAATTGCAAAGATTCTTGTCCCAGCCATTCACTGTCGCACACGTTTTCACTGGTATCGACGGTGTTCTCGTTGACTTGAAGAGCACAATCTCCAGTTTCAAATCTATCATGAGCGGAGAGGGTGATAATTTACCAGAAGGTGCTTTCTATATGGTTGGTGACTTTGCATCAGCACGTGCAAAGGGAGAGAAGATTCTCGCAGATTTGTAAGTTATTTTCTTTGAATCTCCGCGTCTATTTTTACATGTGCTAACAAATGTGTTTTACAGGGAGAAGGAATAGATGAGATGATAGATAGGGGATGATGTGTATAATTCCAGAAGGATGAGAGATGAAGATGAATGAAAAGGGAAGGGTGGGCAGCGTTGGAGCTTGGGCTGTGTACAGACTTGGGAAGGTCCGAGACTGAAAACAAATCCTCTGATTATCACATCTCCTTTTTAAAGCCAAGCCTTGTAACAACTCACCAACAATTTTCTTTAATGATGTTAAATGATTTGATGTATGCGTCTGATGAGATGAGAGATTTTTTGATATGACATCTTGGATGCTATATGGCGCACTCCCTTGCTCTGTAAACTTGCATGTATATATCCGATTTTGGTGCTCTAAACTTCAATATTGATATGAATAGATAGACATTGATTCTTATATATATACATACCTAGATATCTATCTATCCACAGTCTATCTACATTGAATACTTATCTACTCTACTCTACTCTACTCACATACGAGTTCCAACTCATTCATTCATTTCATTACTCGAGTATATATACAAATATATATAGAGTATAATATGACCTTTTGGAACTGAAGTAATGTGAAGTGAAGTAATGTGATGATTTCTGGAAAGAAGTGATGGATGTTTGGACTGGGGTTGAAGATTGAGAAGGTGATGGATGTGAATGTTTGAATTGGGGTTGAGGATTGAGAAGGTGAATGTTTGGATTAGGGTTGAGGATTCAGATAATGATGGATGTTTGAATTGAATTTGAGGATTGAGAGGGTGATGAATATTTGGATTGAGTTGAGGGTTTGAATTGGGGTTAATGTTTAGATTAGGTTGAAGGTTTGAAAAGGTAATAGATGTTTGAATTGGATTTGAGAATTGAGAGAGTAATAAATATTTGAATTGGATTTGAGGATTGAATTGAGGTGAATGTTTAAATTGAATTGAAGGTTTGACTTGGAGTTAATATTTAAATTAGATTTGAGAATTGAAAGAGTGATACTAAATATTTGAATTAGATTTGAGAATTAAAAAAGATAATAAATATTTAAATTAGATTTGAGAATTGAAAGAGTGATAAATATTTGGATTAGATTGAGAATTTGAATTGAGATTAATGTTTAGATTATATTAAAAATTTAAATTATATTTGTTGGAATATCACTAAGATCATAATAGGTATAACAGTAGTAATATTGTATATATATATCCTTAGAGATATTCTAGTGGTATTGGATATTTATATAAGTGCGTGAGGCACGTGCATATAGACGATATCACGTGACCTTATATGACTCTGTACTGCACTTCCAACAATATTAAAGAATTAAATTAAAGATAATATTTGAATTGGATTTAAGAATTGAAAAAATGACAATATTTGAATTAAATTTGAGAATTAAAAAGATAACAAATATTTAAATTAAATTGAGAGTTTAAATTAAAATTAATATTTAAATTATATTAAAAAACTAAATTGAGAATAATAT